AATCAGTTAAACTGAGCTCTTAGTTTTAGGAGTGTCCTTCTGTCAACACAATCATTGTTGCTTAAAATGACACCGAGGAAGTTTTTTAAAGTGATAGTTACAAGGTAGGATGACTGAGCATGTATTTTGTTTTTCGGAAACCCCTTACATCACATTCACATGTGACAGAACAACTAGTCCTGTCCTGTCAAATATTCAGCAGCTCCACTGGGGAACAGGTGGTTTAGTGCTTTGCTAAAGGGCACATTGACAAATGTTTTCACATATTGCTTGATTCAATAGTCATCCCTCTCCATGGATTTTAAGCTCAAGCCTTCCATAACCAAAATTAATTTAAGGCTACAATCCTGAACATCTTTGTACCTGCTTTTTAAACAGAAGCTCCAATAACAAAGTGGATATAATTATACCCTCCATAACACACACTTCAACATTGCTGTAAACGTTTTATTAAGCAAAACATAATGCATACACTGTCTAATGACAATGTGGTCATTGTGGACCAACTACAGTAGCATCTGTTGTATTTTGCGCAAACATTTCTGTAAAATCCAACACAATATGCTCTATTTAAAAACTGTAAACTTCATTCGAAGTGATAATCTAAAGTGCTTTTAAAAAACAAGAGATGTAAGCCTGCAAACAAATTGATAATAATGCGATAATACAAGATAATACTTTTGTTAAACTAAGTCCAGTGTAAAAAAATTAACAAATTATAATACCATATATAACAGAATAATAAAACTGATGTATTTTGCTCCTCTGTTGTAACAATTTTATCATTTACCAAATAACCCTTCAACTTGTCAAAGCCTTTTCTTAAATTATTTTTGGTAATATTGTCTGGAACAGCCATGAGCCATTTGTGAAACATACAGCATCCTTAACTTCTATCACCCTTCCAGACCCCAAACCCTCAGTGCTTTTTAATCCAAATAAACTCTCTAACATATCCACACATGTCTGAAACTTTCTCATCTTCATACTGTATTCCTTTATGTGTCACTTCCTGATCAATAGCATCATTATCACAAGACCAAGACAGTGAATCTCAAGTTTTGGACTGATAAAACTCAGTATGCTGAATCTGGGCCTGCAATGTATGCCTGTGTCCACCCATGAGAATATCCTTTGTTTCCTTCACATATAACAGTAGACAAGTCATTATCATAAGAAGTTTATCTCTTTTTCTTTTGCTGCCGGAGTGCCTTTCTCCTTTTAAGAACCATATCATGGAGTCTCTCCAGGCCCTCCCTGAGTCCGTCTCCTATGATAGCGCAGGCTGGCTGAAGGTGCCAGGGAGTTGCAGGGCCGAGTTCTTTCAACGCCAGCAACTTCTCAATTTCAGCAAGTCCCAAAGAGTGCCTCAAGTCCTGTTTGTTGGCTACCACCAGCAGGGGCACCCCCTGATTTTCAGAGGTCTTGGCAATTTTATGGAGCTCCGTTTTGGCCTCCTCCATGCGCTCTGCATCCACAGAGTCCACCACAAATATGATGCCGTCCGTGCAACGCGTGTACGACTTCCACAGGGGGCGTAGCTTCTCCTGGCCACCTACATCCCAGAAGTGGAACGTCCCAGTCCTGTGGCCGCCCAGAGACAGCTTGACCTTCTCTGCATTAAAACCTTTGGTGGGCACCGTGTTCACAAACTCATTAAACTGCAGTCTGTACAGAACGGTGGTCTTCCCAGCGGAGTCCAGCCCGAGGATGGCGATGTGAAAAGACTGGAAGAACGAGATGCCTGAGAAGAAGCTAGGTTGCTCTGATAATCCGTTCCCCATCTTTCCTCATGGGGGAGGATTGGTGATTTGGGAGATTTGATCCAATTGTCCAGCAATAATCCTGAGAGCTGCTGATATTCCACACTGACTGCAGCAATTATCTGAAAAGCATACTGCAAATGTTATTGTGGGTAAAACACAAGCTTACAGAAGCAGTAGCACTTAAAGCGAGATTATGTAAATGAGCAGCAAGGTGGTAATTACAGGATAATGGCACATTAAACTACCCTATATTTCCCAAGATTCTCTAGTCTGTTTTTTTGTTTATTTTAAAGACGATGTCATTAGTTGATCTGTATGAGCTAAAAAAAAGTAAAAGAATAGCACAAGTAGAGTCAAAAAGTCAACAAACTGAGTAATGTAAGTGTCACAACATCTATCTAAAGATTGCTAACATAAACCACCAGAACAAGTATGGTTGTAGCAGTAAAGTGTAATTATTTGAGCAAGGGTGCATTTGCAACTTTTCATTCTTATGGGCAAGTGTTATGTTCATTTTCAAAAATTTTCAAGCTAGACTTGAAATCACTGTGAGTAAAATGGCTGGTGTCTCTATCATGATATCTGCAATCTCAAGTGAGCAGTGAGGAAACATTTATCATCAGCATGCAAAATATAAGTATAGCTAAATAGTTTGCCTGAATACGTTGGGACTGAAAATGTGGTGACATTTTAGGGTTGTTTTTGGTGGTATTAGAAGATTTTCACATGCAATTTATCATTTCCACAGTCCACAGTAGTGCGTCGCTCACCGCGAAACATCATTTATGACCAGGAAAAGACTGTTGAGCAATACACTATATCTAGTCTGATATCACAATTTCATATTGAGATCAGAGCAAAGGCATGATCCAAGACCACATCAAACACCTACAGTCACACAACAAGGAGTTTACAATCACCGTATTACGTTAAATTAATGTACAAGTCTACAATAATGTGCTTAGAGACACCACATTGTACTGTAGTTTAATTTATTCATCTCATAATGTATCATTTTGACATTCCTATAGGGGCCTGTTTGCTAGTTTTGCTGTAATTCTAGTATAATATTACATCCTTAATTGTAATTAAAATACAGCTTAGTTTCCAATGACTTATCTGGATATGGGATTGCACTAACGTTAAATTTATAGAGGACTGACAAGTATTTACACGGCAGGTGCAACAAATGCAATTTTTTGTCGAGTCCAAAAGTGGTTAACATTACCTACCAGTCTGAGCCATCCGTAGAGAAAACATTCATTCTAATCCTCCCTGAACAGAAACACGGTCCTCTCCGACGCCTAAACAACCTGAAATTCAACTCACGGTATATTTCCAATTCGTAGGTATGTAACGACGACGGAAAAAATCCTTCCCCAGAAACAGACCAACCCTCCCTGTCTGTCCTCGGTGTCCCAGTGTGGATCTACCGCTGATGACACTGCTGTCAGTCTGTATCAACGCCCACACGAACACTGAGGGCGCATACGATTGGTGCGTGGCCTCTCTTTTCTGTCTGCTGATTGGCCGACACGGCTGTCAATCGCGCGCCTGCCCGGGAACCAGGATCACCTGTTGCTCCGTCTGTCTGTCACGCTATTTTACTATTGACATTAACATTTTATCGTTATTGATCCGCAAACAGATTGTAGCCGATTATATATATATTATACTATATTATACAAAAAAAACAAAAACAATGGAGAGGCCGCTTCAACTCAACTGTCATAAGAAAAAAAGGTACATCTCATTTAAAAGTTGTTCATGTTTAAAACTCTACAAGCGCTGTCCAGATGACGCTACAGTTATATCGTACCACCAAGTTGCAGATACTGCAGATAATATAGTTCTGATTTCCTTGTCAAATAAAACCCAGGCCAGTTAAGTCTACAACAAGAAGCTTCATTATCATCCGCGGTATTTTGTAACGTCAGCCCACGTTAAACCATCAACGGACATTTAGATAGCACGCAGGGATACTCGTCGATAAGCTAGCTAGTAAGTTAACGTTAGCCTTGCCGCACCAACAGTAAACGTTGGTCACCGTTAAAAGTAGAAATTGAGACTCACCGTTGATTCAACTCGGCGAGTCACGTTTGTCCATTTTCTGTCTGTTGCTGTGTGTGTGTGTGTGGAGAGAGATAGAGGGTGTGTGTGTGTCTGGCTGTGAAGAAACAGCGCCGCCCCATTCATTTGAGTGTTTTTGTTTGAAACGATTGGTCAGGGAAAGCCGGAAAAGCACCACGTTGACTGCAGCCCATCAGACATGAAAGATAACAAACTTGCCTCTTAGCCTCTGGTTTATATAACCTGTTTCTGTTTATGAATTATTTTAGTTCACAATTGTTTGTTTGATTCAGTTTCTTTTAGCAATCTGTACACACAACATTTGAATATTGTATTGCATATGTATATTATTATCATAGGCTATTAATTTTCTTTTACAGCCTAAGATAGTTTGCGAAGCCTGTCCCTGTGGGCTTTTATATAAATACATAAAAACACAGCAAACAGTTCATACAAAACAGCACAAAACACACAGTGATGCAATAAAATAACTATAAAAGTCATATATTTAAACATTTATGATATGTAGAATGTAGAAGTCCAAAATGGGCTTTTATACTAATACGCAAAACTCAGCAGAAAGTACAAAACACAAACAATGATGCAATTCAATTACAATAAAAGTCTAAAATGATAATCACAGCATCATTTTCAACTTTTAAATGATATCCGATTCATTATCCATTTTTCCACCTTTCCATCTACCCATCCCTTCATTTATTACTTCATTCCTTAACCTGCTTTATTTTCATAGATGTATTTATGCTCTGTAGCTAATAAGACAGATTACATATGGTCCATCAGTCATTAGCCGCTCTTAAAATTTCTGAAACTCTCAGAAACACAGCACAGAAACGATATAATGAAAAGTAACAAAAAGAAAACAAAACAGCTAAAGGCTCTGAGTATTTTTGCACTTGTAATGTAATAAATATAAAACCAATTCCATACAATAGACTTACAGTATGTTTTATTTTATGTGTTTATTTAGGTAGTCCTGTGCTAAATTCTTTATACTGTAGATTCTTTTATAGAGGATTTATGGAACAGATTTGGATGAAATTTATTGTGTTCCCAGGATTTTTCATCACTCTTCTTTTGACTTTGGTTACTTTGTTTTCCCTGTATAGATTTGTCCCAACTGCCATAAGACATTTGCACAATCCTGTAAAGAACTACACAACTAGTAAGTAGAATATTTATTAGCCATGCTGCAATATGCTTTTTTTAATCTCCATTTCATTACATTATTCACTATTGGAAAGGATAACAAGGGATTAAAATAAGAAAACACATGGCAGCCTGTGGGTCATGTGGTTTAATGTGACTGATATTCTTTTCATTTTATATTTAGTCTCCGAGTTATGCACAGAGTCACAGATGACTCATTAAACATGTATGTTCAGCTCATTCAGATGTACTTCAAACATGTGCAGGCTTCACGTGTTTATAATTCTTGGGATACCGAATGAGCAGCTGTCAGTGCAGCAGTGGGCTTCACAACACAATGTGGTGCGATGACCTTCATGACACCGCAGCCACTGCTGGTCTTCGGCCATAAGATTAAAACAATAATAATCTCTGAATATGTCAGATATGTTCAGTCCTTTTCAGTTCACTTGGTGCTCTCAGCTTTTTTACAACTCAACAATAACATACTGCAACTTTTACAGTTGAGATGATTTTCACATGTGCTCCCTTTAAATTGCATTGAAACTAATTCAAACTTTGTAGCTGCCTGGAACACATTCAAAATTAAAGAAAAAACACAATAAGCTTTGGAAAATATCTGTTAGTAATGAATTAATAAATTTGAATTGTAGTAAATGTACAAAAACATACATTATAATTGAATTAGTCTTTAAAACTATACAGTAGACACAACAATAAAAACTAGTCACATTTATTTTGTTTTATGCTCATTGTCTGTTAGAATTGTATGTGTATTCAATACTTAAACTAATTAATTTAATTTTCCACATTATACAGTTTAAGGAAAGAGCTGAACAAAGAAATTCAAATATAAAAATAACATTTAAAAAATGGATTTGAAAGGAGAGAGTCATGATTTAGCAATTTTTCCACGATCTTGAGAGTTTCTCCTCCACACGGTCCAAGAATGCGCTGTATGCTCCTCTTCTTCGTCTGTGTCTCTGTGAAACAGACATTCAATGTCAGTATTAAATTATATGTAACTCTAAGCTGTCTAAACTGTTGTAAATTACTAATGTAAAATACAACAGGTAGCTTCAGTCAAACGATGTAAATTAAACAAACAAAATATGTTTCCCACTTTGCCTATAACTCATGTTAAACCAAATGAGTATTTATTTAGTTACTTGCATATGCTTGTTTTTGGTAATACTTTGAGTTTTTCACTCCTGCACAGGGAAAAAGCAGTAAAGTATAAACACCTCTGACAGCATTATACTGTGATAACATGTAGTCAGTGGTGGAAGAGGTATTCAACTAATTTACTCATGTAAAAGTAGAAATACCACACTATAAACGTACCCCCATTATACAAAACGTACTTAAGTAAGAATATATGGGTATTAGCAACATAATGTTCTTAAAGGTTTCAAAAGTAAAAGTCCTCATTGTTGTCTGATCATTATTATTGACGTATAAATATGTAAACGTTACTTTACTGTTGTACTTTGTCAAGCAGGAAATCATTTTAACTACTTCATATACTGGTGGGTAGTGTAATCTTCAACAATGCATCACATTTTATAAATTCATCATATGTTCTGTACTAATCTAAAGGTAACTATAGATATCAGATAAATGTTATGGATTAAATACTACAATGTCTTCCTCTGAAATGTAGTGGAGAAAGAGTAGCACAACATGGAAATACTTAAGTAAAGTAACATAAATGATTCTTTATGTATATATGATGTCATAACGCCACTGACAGAATAGGACGCTGATTTTGGAGGCCAGAGCGGCTGAGGAAGTATGAGCCTTGCATCCCATCTTGGCTCTGCAGGTTTATAGGTGTCCATCTTGGTCTTGGTGGACCTTGAATTAAAATCTGACTGGCATCTAGTGGTCCGAACTGGAAAAGAAAATATTTTAATTCAGTCAGTCATTTGAACCCATAATGGTATTTGAAAATTTAGGAAAACAGGCTTTTGACTGAATAAGACATGTTCTGCTCGCCTTAAAAAAAATCTGGTAGACCTTGCACACCTTGACACAAAATTAATTAGGTTTTGGCACAGTTTACATATACAATGGAAACATCTATAATACCACATTTTTTCAACCAAAAATGTAAAAAGATGTAGTGAATCCACTTACTAATGTCCATATGCTTTAATTTAAAATTCAGGTTACCAGGATCTCTCTCATATGTAGTAACTATTCCTGGAAGGTCCTCATTAAGCTGAAGTCAGATAAAAAGCAAAGAGTAATAATAGAGTGAAGTTTTTACTGTTGTGTTTATCGCCATCATGTGGTCAAAGCAAACATTACAAACTGTTCCTGACAATGAGTCTTCTTGCCTTTCTTGTATCAGTCTGCATGTTCATCACCATTTTAAGAGATATTCAGGAAACCCTTCTGAATAAGGTATAATGCACAATTTGTGTTTGCAGACACTTACCGGTCTGAAGTTATGTGGTTTGGGGTTCTTGTAAGGTCCAGAAGGGTACTTCCCTGTCTTGACAAAAGTCAGCTCATATTCCTGAGCATCAGGAGGCCGGTGTGATGTGGTGAACTTTGGAGGGTCTTCACTGTGGTACTTCTCATGTAAAACCTCTGGTAGAAAAACTCCAGTTCTCCTCTTTGTTTCATAAGGTTGAGGCACAGTTAGATTTGAATGTGTCTTTCTTTTTTCTTTCTTTTGAGGAACTGACACAGATCTGTACAGTTTAAGAGAGAAATCTGGTGGCTTGATGCTCCCCACGTCGCTTTGGCTCTGAGTCTCGGGGAGTGCGAACCATTTGCTTCTTGCAAAAGACAGATTCTGACTGGCAGAGAATTTGGTTTTTTCCTCAAAGCAGAATGAGGACAGTGGATGCAACAAACTCTGGGGAGCCATTTTGATTTGTTGATTAACAAAAATTAGGCATCTTGAATTTCCTGGAGATATCTCCTGACCTGTCACTTACTTCTACAGACGTGCAAATGTAAATCCACAGAGTTTGAAGTTGGACTTGTTGTACTGCCTCAGGAGAAAGTATCCGACAGTGGCACAAGGGTAGATACAGACACAACACATAAAATTGCTGCTTGGTAACGAGCGCCTTCAGTCTTCTGAACAAAAAGAATTACGTTAAGTGGGCTGAGCTCAGTAGGACGTTTAACAAAAGCAGAAACGTAGCAACAGTGCAAACAAAGGCCCTATGAACACAAGAAAAAAAAAAGTTTATACCAAGCCAATCCATTTAAGTAGGATATTCATTTACAGATATGAGAGTATGTGTTTTTATCATATTTCATTCTGTCTTGAAGAGCAAATGTTTATATTTATTTTCACATTTACAAATCTGGCAGTGTGAGACACGTCTATGTGGTGTGCCAGAACGTTGTTGAAGTATTTACTGTAGAAATAAAATGGTTTGTGTTTTCAGAGCCATCGCACTGCAAGCCTTAGTGCTCACTTCAGGTTTTTTTTGTTTTGTTTGGCTGTTCACATTAATCTTTAAATGTGGCCAATATCAGATTCTAGTGTAAACTCCTCACAGTGCTGAACTGACCCGCATGCGCGCAAGAACAATAACAAAGACGGCAGAGGTAAACAGAAGTAAACATGGAGGCCTCTGAAGTCAGCGTTTACATTTTTTTTTATTGATGTGCAGTGGAAGCCGGGGAATTCTTGACCAGAGGATAACAAGGACGAAGATGAGGAGAAAGAGAGCTAAATTTTGAATTATGACTTTTTGTGGAGTCGGAGCCAGGAGTGGTGGGATCGTGACATGAATGGCTTTACAGAAACAGATTTCATCTAAAATTTCAAGGGCTACTTTTAACTACATCTGTCAGCGGCTCCCTCCTTCCCCCTCTCTGAATTCCCAGAGTGGCTCCCGACAGCGCAGAATTGTGACGAATGTCGATCTAGGAACAAATATAAAAGTTTCCCGCATCAGAACTGAAAAGATAAGATTCCATATGATTTGCTGTTCACACTGTATAAAAAGTCAGTCACATATGAGCAAGAAAATATGGGGGAAGTGAGATTTTTACCACTTTTGCCTGCAGTCTGAAAGTAGAGCTGCAATAAAAATCCTGTTTACGCAGTCACACTGTAGGGAGTCTTCTTCCATCTGGGAACAAAAGGGTTTAAAACTTGGCTTTTGGTTACAGCAGGTTTCTGTATAGCACTTTTCAACATCAAGGCAATTCAAAGTGCTTTACGTAAGACATAAAATGGCATTAAGAAAAATGTTAAAAGAAACGCAGGACAAAATAAAAGACAGATAAATATGATTTTAAAAATGTATATAGAATATGAGACATTAAACAAGGTAATTAAAATTATTAAAGTATAGTTACAGTCCAGTGCAATATATGAGTAACAGTCCCAAATTTAATTCAATAAAAGGGGTTTTCAGAGTCTGAGACTGCTGTACATTATTCCAGGAGGTAGGAGCAGAGTATTTAAGCATTGTCTATTTCTACCTACAGAAATGTGTATCATCAGAGTAATTTGCAAGATCCTGTAATTACAGACAACTCTACACAGGGGCTTTAAGGTCAGGTTAAATCTCTGGGAACTAATGTAAGTATGCAGCGGTGAAAGAAGTAATTCCATCTTTTACTTACATCCACTGCATTGAGAGAGTGTAGCTGTCAAAGGAATGTAGTGGAGTAGAAAGTACAATATCTCCCTCTGATATGGTGTTGAGTTGAAAATGGACATACTCAAGTAAAGCACAAGTACCTCAAAAGTATACTCAAGTACAGCACTTTATAAATGTACGTAGTTGTAAGTTTGTACAATGTCCTCACAAGTAACAGAAACATGTATGAATTTGTAATGTCAAGATAATTCCACCAGAGGGCAGCATATAATTCAGGTGGTTCCAGTCAGCTGATGGTATGAAGTGCTATTCTTTTAACAGAAGCAGTTCAAGTTCACTCTCCTTAGTAATTTCAGCAACTTAGCTCAGACCGAGGCAGAGGAGGTCAAATACAGCATAGAAAGTAGGATTTGGTCAATGGTGAGAGCTGAACTGGCTCTAATTTAAAAGTGATGAATGTACTGTCCCTAACTCAGTGTATTTCACCAGCATCATGAATGCGTCCAGTATGAGTCAACAGCTGCAGGCCAGGACTTGGCATGCAGAGAAGATGCTTCTTCCAGATTCAAGCTGCAATCGCCCTGAAAGAGAAAGCTGTTTAATGTCTGCCAGAAGCCATTTTTACTCACTCAACCTTAGAAAAGTCAGGGAAATAGTCTGGAAAGGAGCTTGTTGCAAAAAAGGAAGGCTGCCGAATATCCTTTACGCCAAGAGGTGTATTGATTAGACTAAAACAGCTGGTTTCCCAAGTGGTCAGATATAAACATATAGTATAAAATAAAAGTACAGTTATAATACAGTATATAGTTTCCTCTATTTTCAAGATGGTGGGTTTTTTAAGCAATCTTCTAAAATCCCTGGATGCAGTTCATGACTCATCATTGAGATTTTTAACTGGTGGTTCCGTCTGCATACATCACTGTGATGTTTATCAAAACGTTTTTATTAAAACGTCTTAACAAGTTTAAAGCTGCACTAACCAATAATTTCATATTAACAACAGGTCAAAAGACTATGTGTGATGTGAAAGGGGTCACTTCCACAGAGACTTTCCTCTCAGATCTAAGTGTGTCTAACAGCGTTGTTGCATTTTTAAGCTCATTGTTTTGGTCTACAACTTTATTGTGTTGATTCACTATCAGCAACAAAAAAAAAGCTCTGATAAACCTACTGCGCTGTACGCTATCTACCCAGCACCAACCAGCAGGCTAGCTTATGAACATAGTGGATAATTTAAAGATATTTCCCTCAGGAGCTGGGGGAGACTAGGCTCGGGTGGTATATATGTTTTCAGTCCTTTATACCTTCCTGACATTTCACAGGGGTCAATGGTAAATGGCGGTATTTATGTAAAAAGTAAAAGCTGAGCTGCAGGTGTTAGAAGTTACTGTAACATCACATTGCAATCATGCATCTGTAGTAATAGAATAATGAATATGTATTATGGGAGATCATAATGGTACAAAAAACATCAGAGCCAGACAGTAAGCAGAGCAGCTCCCCCTTACGTGAACACGGCTCTGTATGCAGCCGCGTTTTTCCACACAGTAGTTGCAGCAGTGACTTTGTACCAACTTGGACAGCTGACACAAGGGGGCAAAGGCAACGGGAAACCCAAGCTGAGACCAAACAGCGCCTGTGAAGGAGCTGACCTCGCTGCCCCAGTTAAACCAGGAGCTGCCACCTTCAGAGGCTCCATCTCAACCTTTTGCCCCTCAGCTGTGTGTCTGAAAAACCCCTACCATTGTGCGCAGTGACATTTACAGCCCTGTGCATCAGTGGCTTGGCTGAAACAATGACAGAAGCCTTTTGAGGTTGACCCTGCCTTTCAGGGGCCTCAGAGACGTCTCCATGTCACTCTGACAACATGATTGAGCCTAATTGCATTGTTGTACCACAGATAAATCAAGCTGTAACACGCGGAAGCTTGTAAATTATGTCTACGTAACTGCTGAAGGAAATAGAAACAAGGTGAAACGAAGTACCCAAGACCGAGCTGAGGAAACTACTGGTCTCATTTTTGGACTTTTATTATATTCCTTTCCGATGTCTGACTGTGTGTCAGGACCTCCATCTGTTTTTTACTGTTGTTTGAGCACTGTCACTGAGGCAAGATCAAAAGCTCTTCCTTCCCTTTCCTCTTTACTTTCATTTCAGCTCAGACAGAAAGAGGGAGGTATACTGTGAATGTCATAAATCAGGAAATGTCATGAATGTGGACAAATCACTCACTCACTGAACCCTGAACTCTTTAAGTATATTAAAACACAAAAGAGATGCTTCTGCAAAGTAACCTTGAAGTATGGTCACCCCTCTCACGTTTCATTTGGACCAAAGCAGACTAAACTAAACACAGATTTATCAAGACACTGGATGCTTGGTGGGACACATTTTGAAAGATATTTTTAAGGCAAACAGATCTGCAAAGAAACAAAGCATTATTTCATTATAGTCTACTGATGCTACTGTTGGTGTATACTTCAGCATCACTTAATTTTCTGCTACGTGTCATTGTTGAGTATCAGTAAAAAAAAACTGGTGTTTACCATCAATGTTTTAGTGTCTTTAACTTTTAAGGCTCTCAAATTTAATGGTAGGCTCACCTATGACTTATTTTATGACTCTTTGTTACAGTCTTGAGTTATGTTTGACTCTGATAAGATATGGAGATTTAGTTTGTTACTGGATCAAAGACTGTAAAAGACATTGTCTGCATTGTTGGCAGCGTGTTGAGTGGTCAGTCTGGGTTGCGGCATGTGATGGGAGGCTAGATGTCGGGGGTGGAGGCAGGAATAGCTCGTGTCATGACCCAGCTGCTCTGAGGTCACATTTGTCCTCTACAGTAACTAAACACAAAGCAATCCCATCTGCAACGTGGATCAGCTACAAAACAAACCCACACTCAGCATTTCTGATGTGTTCCTGCTCTCGATAGTTAGGCAGCTCAAGTCAGTTTACTCAAGTATTGCACCTAATTACACATTTCAATAGTACTTTAATGTATGGATACTTCTACAGATTTTACATTGAAAACATGAGATGAATTAAATTAGAAAATTGCAACTATCTCTTTTTGTAATCTGTCTTCAGCTCACTCTCTGTCTTTCTTTTTGTCATTCCTTCTTATATTATTTTTTTTAACCATGCTAGCAGTGAGGCTCTAGGAATGTCGGTCAGTCTGACGGTCGGTCCACCACTTGGGTTGCCAGCTCATTTTGTACAGACATAAATGTTCCTCAAAGGACAAAATCTCAAGGACTTTGATGATCCCCTGACTTTTTCTTTAGCGCCACCATGAGGTTAACATTTGTGTTTTTTTCAGTGAGACATGACATTTGGATCCAATATTATGTAGCTGCAGTACAGGACACTCGCAAACCTGGGATCACAGTTCTTTTGCGGCAGCGTCATCTAGTGGAGTGGTGCCGGTAATGCACAGCAACACGAAGGAGGTAAACCCCGTCTGCTAGGTGCACAGCTGTAGGGTTAACAGGTCGACATGCATATAATCAATAACTTAAGTTTAGGCACACACTCAGTGATGGTTGTGGTAAGGGTAATTGGCTTCAGGGGGCTGTCAAGAGTAACATAGCTAGCTGGCAGTATCAAAGTAAACAAGAGTCCTAGAAATGCCGTTCCGGTCCTAGGATTGCGGTCCTGAAACTGCAGCCTCCGGTACTGCAGCTACATACTACTCTTTGGATCAGACATTTATGGATCAGGATGTTTGTTGTAATAACTTTATTGATCCCTTAACTTTTCATCTAGCGCCATCATAAGGTCAAAATTTAAATTCCAAGCCAATACTTTGGTTTATGAACAAATACCTGCAACCCTTAACAAATAATAGCTAAGGGTGTTTTTTTTTGTTATCTCAGGGGTTTTAAGTATGACACAAAGACATGCTTCTGCAAAGTAATCTTGACGTTGCAAAACTAATGACATTTATCATCTTCAGCTTTGTGTTTAGTGCTAATTTGCGAATATTAACATGCATGCTAAAGTAAGATGAAAACAATAGTAAACATTACACTTACTGGCATCAGCATTAGCAGTGTGTGTGCAGCATGTCGATGTTTAGCTCAAAGCATGACACAGAGCTGCTTCCCGTTGTTTTTAATGTCCATCCCTCTTGAACAGATCTGGAAGTCTGGCCAGGGACATTTGTTGCATGTCATTTCCACTCACTTCCAGCTCTCAACTGTACTCTCTCCGATTAAATACATCAAATACCCAAAAATATAAAAAAACAGATCTGAAAGTTTGAAAGTGTGTAAATCCAAACAGCAAAACGAACCCGTCTTCAAAATGAGTAGTGGCAATTATTAACTTGTTTTAACTTCCAGGTTCATTTTACTGACAATATTTCTTTACTTTTACCGAGTAAATTGTTAAATGCAGAACTGTTACTTGTAGAGGAACTGCTTTTCCACTGTGTGATGCCACTTTTACTTCAGTCAGAGTAATCTGGGTTAAACTTTCTCCGTCGTACCGCCTGAGTGATTAAGACGAATCTTCACTGGCGTTTTGAAAACATGCGTGTGTTAGCCAAGACACCAGCTGACAAGTTATTACATGGTGTTGCCCAAATTTTCACCACATGGGAAGCACCATCATCTATCTCAGTGTGTTAAATAAGCACTTTCACCCTTTATTGAACAAGAGCAGCCTCATGTGGGCTGTAAATCAGAATGCTGATTTAGTCTTGTCCAGGTGCAGAATTATTCATTTCAACTTGTGTTTTCGTGCAGGCGATGATGGAGTGACAAACAACAATGAGGATGACAAAGAGGTAAAACTGGGAAAGTGTGTTTACATTTAGACCTTTAGAACATGATTTAGATTTTTCCTGCACTTTCCTGCTCTGCCTGTGTTTGCCGTCCGTACACTGAAGTTGTAGTAGTATTTTCAGTTGTACAATCAGCTTTCCTACCAGTGGTGGAGGTTAAGGTAATTATATACAGTTTACATTCCCTGCATCATTTAGCTGATATCACATTTCCCAGGGGACACTGCAGTGTTGCTGTTCTCCCACGTCTGCAAAGCTGATTATAATGAGAGCTCATGTGTGTAGATTTAAGTATTAAATGAGGCAGTTATCTCCATTTGTTTACCGCTTGTTTTTGCTCCCTGGATTTACCTCAAAAGTTACAAACGAACACATGCCATTTATCTACGTATGTATGTTTATGTTCATTGGACATGGATTCATGTTTTCCATCCAGGGAGCCAGGAGATTTAATTGCTGGTTGTGTAAGAAGAGATATGAGCAAAGGGGAAGAAAGTAGGTTTTTACCTGATGGCTATTCCAGGCTTTTAGCAGGTTGATGGTCCAGGAGATTTATGAGGGAGAGGTTATATCCCTCCTCCGCCTGGGAGTCAAACAGACGAGCGTCTCAACAAGACAGTCAGGCACCTCCATGTTACACTGGGATAAGACAGGAGGAGCAGTCGACAACCTGCACAGCTGTCAGCTTCCCATTGGTTCTCTCTAGACCTGCAGAGATAATTGTCCAAAGGTTTATTCAACATTAATCACAGACATACACATTGTCTGACTTTACTGATACTTCACAGTTTCTTTTAACCGTCGAAAAATAGTACTCCTGCTGGAACTTGGCAAAATCATCGGGTTGAGTTTCCAAAAAATAACACTACTGCAGAGTCTCTACTTCTACAAGAGTTAATGTGCCCCATTTGAACAAGCAAAATCAGCTCAAACTGCTTTTAGAAGGGAAAATTGTTGTAGAGCTGAAACAACTGACAACTATCTTAATAAATGATCAATGATTTGAGCCACTTTTTAAGCAAAAATTTGGCATTTTTGCTTATTGGACAAAACCAGACTTTTGAAGATGTCACCTTGGGCTCTGGGAAGTCTGGGCTCATTTTTCTTCTTACATTTTATAGTCAATATCCATCCAACTAATAATGAAATTAATGGTTTCCTGTTTATAATCGACTTTATACTCTGCAGGGAGACTCTAACTTTATCTATCCTTGTAGCTCTTACCATAATAGCATAAAACTGACCAAACTAACACACATTTTATTCCGTGCTTTTTCAACATTTCATCTAACATCAATGAATGAACAAGCAGACAGATTGAGCCATCACTTCCTCTGTTTCTTATTTCCCCTTCTAAAGAGATCAGTTTCAGGCCATGAAAGAACAATCAGCTCCAGCCAGTGAAACTCTATATCTGAGTTGCGTGGCTGCAGTTTAAGCGTGATAATGGAAAGGAGCAGTTTGGAAAAGGACATGAATGTGATATCTGGCTTTTCCAAAATCCCACTCTTTGGCTGAGGTCGTTTCCCTGAAAGGTGCAGCATGTGGGCCATCTGTTTTAGTGCTTTGGAGTGGTGACTAATGAAATACCACGGGCTGGCCAGTAGTGAGCTTCCATGATTAGACCACCAGTCAGCTTTCCCCCCCCTTTAGAAACAGACAAAACAAACTTTGGTGCAGACAGTTTTACAGACTCAAGTCGATTTAGAAAAAATACTTTAATTTGCTTTGAATAACAGAAACCCCGTGTAATTGGACTGATGTAGTGGATACCTTTTATGTTTGGATAGTAAAGGTGAAACAGAAAAGAGAACCCTACAGAATAAAGTAATTGTTAGGTTTATGATGCTTCACACTGATTAGTCTCTATATCTGCATATAGAATATTATAAATACAAAATCAAGCTTTGCAGTTTAGTCCTTATGCCTAATACCTGACCTATAAATAAAATTTTAACTTGATATGTCGACTGACAATGTTGACTTTTACATGTTTTACTTTTTTGTCGGATCATGGTATTCAAATGAAATGATGAGATTATTTGAGTAATAGTAACACTCTCTTGTTCTTTGTGATATAACCTATATATAATCTTTAGGGTGTGGACTTGGATTAAACAAGCAATTCACATTTTATAGATAAAATGATTAATCGATTAGTTAGTTGTTTGTTGCAGCCCTGTTGTTTAATGCACATGGCTTTCATGTAAAATTATTTGTTTTCCTGTCACATTAATACAGGTGAAAGCAAACAAAATCACTAAGTTACAATGTTTTTTTCACTAAATGAGTAGTTACCCAGAAGGATCAAATTAAGATTCTGATATAGAGTCATTCATTGATTGACAGGCAACTATTTTTGATAATGGTTCCAGCTTCTCAAGTGTGAAGATTTACGGCTTTCTCCAATCTTACATTACAGTAAATTGAATATATTTGGGCTCTGGGTAGTGGTGGAAGAAGTACCCAGATTCTTTACTTGGGTAAAAGTAGACCAAGACCATAGTACAAGTAAATTCCAGAATTAAAAATGTTCCTTAACTAAATGTATTATCAGTGAAATGTACTTAAAGTATCAAAAGTAAGGGTAATCATTATGCAGAGTGGCTTCTTTCAATGTATTATAATATTATAGAATAGTACATTATTTTGTTGTTATCACTTACAAATACATGTAAGAGCATATTAATGTTGTAGTTTGTCACTATAGAGCCAATTTGAGACATTTATATTAGTGGTATAATACTGCATCAGATCATATATCATATCATATAAGCATAGTCATATTTTTATGTAAAAATAACTAGTAACTTTAAGTTTCAAATAAATGTACTGCAGTACAATACAACACAAGAACACAATATGTCCCTCAGATGTGTAGTGGAGTAGAAGTATAAAGTATAGTTTAAATTGGAATTACTCAAGAAAGTATAGTACAGTACAGTAACAGTAAAAGTACTTAGTTACATTCCACAACTGGCTCTGGGAAAATATGACTTTCATCTTTCTCTATTTTCTGATGTTTTAGATTAATTGAGTAAATTGTACTCAAGTACTTCGATACATTTTGAGGTATTTGTTCACTTTTGTTCACATTTCAAAGGGGAAAATTGTAGTTTTTACTGCAATACATTTGTCTGATATATCTTATAGGTTAAGCTACCCAGGAGTAGCCTATATATAATCCAACAATATAATATTGTATATTATTATGAAAAGGGCGTGGGCCTAATGCACAATGAGTAACTTTCAGGTATTTTGATCGTATACTGTTGTACTTTTCTTTAAGGAATAGTTTGAATGCTGAGAATTGCTATACTGTGGTATAACATCTTTTATTTAAATAAAAGATCTGAGTACTTCTTCCACCTCTGGTCTCAGATGTGTGCAGAGGTGTTGGAGGTCTGGGTCATGGGAAGGTGTCCCGCTGATGCCCCTCCTAACACACTACGATGCTGCAGCCTGCAGCAGTCTGTGCTCAGCAGCCGCAGTCCGGCGTCTGGGATCAGCCTCCAACGCTCCAACCACAAGTGACTTTAACAAACCTGAACCACCTCCTGCGCGGATTCCCTCCTGCTTCTCTACTTTTGGGTCGGATAACGGAAACGCTGCGCTGCGCTCCTGTTGCTCCGAGCAGACAGAGGACTTTCGGCGAAAGGGCTGCCAGTCCTCGCGCTCCGTGCTCGCGCTATTTGGTTGCAAAGTCGCGCGTGGAAGCAGCAGGACGATGAGACTTGAAACAGTTTTGAAACTTCTTCCGTGCGTTGTGTTTTTACTTTCCAACGCAATGCACGCTCAAACAGGTAAGCTCACCCCTTTAAGTGATTCAAAAACTCTGACTTCGACTGTTTTAATGCGGTACAGGAGCAGCGTGCGCACTGTTTTCACAAATTTAATGGACAAACATCTTGTTAAACTATTCCCTGGTGGTGATAATGATTACTTCCGATTTCTTCTGTAAGAAAAATTTACAAAACAAAAATGTTTTGATTTAATCACGATGTACCACAGAGCTCCATGTCCTCAATATTCCACTGGTAGTTTTTTGTCCCCCTGCCAAAAGGAAGGAGACACCTCATCCATCATGTAACTGTCATCCAAGGCTCCAAACCTCCAGGTCTTATGGTCAGAGTGTAATGGAGGCCTATTGTGCTCTCATGAGACAGACCATCTTTTCACCTATATGGGTGGTTGGCTCTAGGCGCTCACTGACAGGATGTGGACTCTCTGAGTTCCTGTCCAGCTGATGAGGACTAAAGCGACCAGGCGCTGAGAATGAGGGATGTCTATAGGCAGCTTCGACATCTCCTGTTGTCTCCTTCAGCTGCTTGTCTGCCTGTCACCACTGTGGCAGACTCACTCAGGCTATCACCTTTCACTTGACCTCTCAGGTCAGGGCCAGAAAACTTTGCTGCAGTGCACAGAAGCAGAGGACTGCTACTGCTTGGTTACAGCTTGGATCTTCCTCTCTGTTCTCACTGTTTATAGTCATGCTTTAAAGTCACACTCTATAAACATCAAGTCTTTCTCTGTCTTTTGCCCCCTTAGTCACCTGTTTTCAAGCCTGGAAGGGGCTTTATCAATAGGCACAGACCAAAATTCCTCTAGGTGCAAAAGGAGGAAATGTGGAAATAACAAGGAAATATGTTATGTAGCGTAGTTAAAACTTACAAACTCCTGTCAGAAGTACGGTATACACATCTTTTTCATGAACAAAAGTACTGTTTTTCTTCTTTTAGAGAAAAAAACCCATCCGATTTGTTTAGCACTGCCGTGATAGCGGATTCAAACAGTCCAGCATCTGCAGCAGCTGGCATGGTTTTTTACAAAATGGTCTCCACAGCGATCCTCTGTAGGTCATTGTATCAAACCCACCCCATATTAGATGAATGGTTGTGATTGGCCCGACCGGATCCAGGAAGATCCGTGGAAATCCGTCAAAATGGGAGGTGGCCCTGACGTATTTGTCAAAGCAAAAGGAAAAAAGAGCTTGAAGATGTGTCTGGTTCCCAAAGTTACTCTTTTCACTTCCTGTAATTCAACATTACATCTCTCCTTAATTTCCAAATATGTTGAGTTTTTCCAAGTTGACTTACAACAACCTTTGCTGCTGCATCAGTCTCATTACACTTGTTGCCAATGGGTACAATACCAGACCTATTTAAATGGCTGAACAAATCTGAGATGAGATTGGAGATTCAGAGGTCTGGATCAAGGTCAAATTTTTGTCTTGATCCTCTCTTGCTGATTCTTGTAGCCGCTGCCCATTCTCAGTTCCGCACATAGAAATGGCTCATGTGGTCACAACAAAACACTGTAGAGTCATGTCCAGAGGTTGCCTTGACTTCTTCCTTGGTAAATGTTTTGTGCACAGTTGTAAGATGTCCTTGTTTTAATTCATTGGCTGCTCCAGTCTCGAAGAACTCAAACTGTGTGTGTGTCCTGATTTAAATTCACATTTGGCCTCAAACTGACAAAGACGAGATTCTTAGATGTTCTTGTAACATGTTTATCATAAGCAAAATAAATGGGGTTTCCAACAGCTGTTTACCACAAGCTGATGAATACCAAGTACTTCCTCCCTTGCTGGTACAACTCATGTGGAACCATATCTTCAAAATGGATCATATGGATATCAGCAGTCACATCCTGCTGTGCACTGGGAGGCCACTCCATTAATAATAATGCTGTTAGGTTTGGCTCCAGCTCAGGTCTTTTCTGAAACTGATTTCCTCGCGCTGGTGTTGGCACCAGTTGGCAAGAGTCTGGTCAGTGGTCATTGTGGTAGTTTATTTCATTAGGAGAGGAAGTGATGAATTTGTTGTAGTTAAAACCTGTAAACTGCAGGTTACATTCCTGCCTGTGATGTAATGGGAAAGTTCAAATGTGTTCAGGTGTGAGAAGATACTTTAACTTACCTTATTTATAGTTAATCAAGTACACATATTAAATAAGCCTGCCTGTAACTGCCATATGGCAGGTGGAGGTTCATACAGTAAATAATTGTATCTTATCACCTATAAGTAGATTAGTCTACTTCAGTTTGTTTTTGTGCTGTCAGGACTGAGACCCAGACTGACCTGTTCCTGGACCTGCTCTATTATGTAAAATGCTGTGGAGATTTGGGCCTTTTTTTTAGACTGTTGTCCTGAATGTTCTTCTGGTTCAGACAAGAGGAGGCTCGTGGCCATGATGGCAGTTGTTTTTGTGGAGGAACATCATCACAACTGTCCTGAATTTAACATGCGATGAGGGTTTTCATGTGGTAGTGACGTCTTCTGATTGGCCAGATGGACTTTGACGAGGTCTGAACTCCCTGATGAAGACCATGGATGACTCTGATGAAGGCCACAAGTTGAAACCTGTTGGTCTCACATTAAAGTTGTGATTTTATACCACAAAACTCCAGCAACACAAGTTTTGACCTCTTCAGACTTTTTTGCCCTTCTCCCAGCATCCTGGAAGTAGGCAGAAATCCAAACTCTGTCCAGATGGACTTCAGCATCACGTTTCATCATACTTATTTTCTTTTGCTTACTTCACGCGCATCAGTGTGGAAGAACACTGGGAATCTACACACAGGGCCCCATCCTAGCTTCTATCGGGACACCCATACATTTGACAGTGACGGCCAACAAAGGCACATGTGGGCCTGTGCCTGGTAGGCCCATTGAGTAATCTATCCATGGTCACTAGCGTGTACAGTATCTTCAGAAGAGCTTGCATTTTTACTGCATATGCTGTTATATAATTTTAGGTAGATTTGCAAAAACACAGGAATATTTTATCAAGTAAATATAAGTGGTTGCTTGTAAATAAATACTGGTATGTTACCTCTTAGAACAGTAGTTTAAAGGCTTCTAAGAAACTTTTTATGATGTTTAGAGTATTGTGTATTGCTATGTGATGATCTTACAAACAGTTTAACATAATCAGTTTAATAAGAACAAGTGAGCTCACCTGAATTAGCTCCTGTTTCCTGACTCCTCTACTTGCTCCTGATCACGATTTTAAAATTAAACAGAAAGCTCAAAACAGCAAATATGCAGTTCTTTGCTTGAGTGTTTCCATTTTATGCTACTTTATACTTCTACTCCACTAGCTTTGTAAGCCAATATTATTATTCTCACTCTGCTACAGTATTTTTACACTATGGTATTGCTGCTAGTAGTAAAATACTAGTACTTCTTCCAGCACTACATCTACATACAGTAGGTATCCAGTGACTTAGAATTAATATATTGCTTATTATTTATACTGAATCCACAATCTGTATTCTTCATTACTATTATTTATATATTTTTTATTACCACTGTAAAATGTTCTTGAATTAAAAAAAATATATTTTTACTCAGTTGTGTCTTCGTTTGTTTGGCTCTACTCCTGTTTACAAGTGTCTATCCAAATTATTTCTCATATTTCAGTCTTATTCAGTAAATGTATTCATAGCCTAAATGATAAAATCAAAAATATGAGCTTTGTCTCTAATACAGACCAGCCTTCCATATATTCCATATATCATTGGTATTGACAGTTCTGGTGCGCATCCAGCACTTATGTTGTCTCTCTGGCTACGCTTGCAGTACTCCCTCCAGAGTGTGCACTGGGAGGCCACTCCATCCTCCAGAATCCCTACCGCAGTACCACCTTCAGCTCCAGCTGGCTGCAGCAGTCGGCCCTGCAGGACTTCATCTGTGACCACTCCCTCACTCCGGGCTGGTACCAGTTTCAGATTTTTGACAAGCCGGCGAGCATGCCCACCGAGTGTGTGGAGGTAAATGATCTCTTTTTTTCAATATATGTATATAAAACATCTTAGAAAAACCAGACTGGAAGATTTAAAATTGAAATAATTTTTTTCATAATGTGCATGCAGTATATAAACATCAGGAATCGTTAGTATCTCTGCTTTGGCTTACATGCCTTAAAGGACCATTCCAGAGCTTTTGTATTTTTTTATACTGCTGTGTTTTAGACACAGACGTTTAACATTGCTTCATTTGTTAAAAGTGAGTTAGACAAAAACATGAATAAGCGTATTTAACAAAATTTTAAACTATTCCTTACCTGTACAGATCCAGTGAGCATGCAAGGCTGCAGGGTACTCCACTGCAACTTCAGCTACACTTTAGCAGCTTCACCTCATCAGTTCCGGGCTTTAAGACACTTAGTCAAGGACTCCAAACTGCCAGATTTTGAGCTCCAAGGTCACCTCTCTAACCCTTCAGCTACTTCAGCTGCTCACTTGCAGCATCACAAATTGACTGTTATCACCCTAGAATTTTCCAACTGTCAAAAAAAAAAAAAAAAAATATCTGGTTAAACTCTCTGAAATGTCTTTTTGGATATTTATCAAAAATTCCAAGTAAGATTTTAGGTTTCCGGCTGTTCCTTTACCATGTGTCAGCTGTGACCTTAGTTGAAGGTTGTAAAACTCATGATCCCCATTTAGAGAAGTCTTATTTTATTATGTCAGTCACTTTCATATTCTCTTCTTTCCGAAGCATGTGGTGAGGTCCATGATCATTATATAGAAGTGTTAATATATTTCAAGTGTTTGAGAATTATTTAAATTTTTTGTATTTGAATCCCATGACCCCATCTGTGACCTCATGTGGAGAAACTCTGAGGTGGCCTCTCTGTCCTCAATCACTGTTTGTCACTGCCAAAGTGTATGTGTACATATGTATGAAGGAGAGTGCAAGGAGAGCTTGAACGTGTCTCATTTCTTGCGGGTGGCTTGCTGTGAAGAGACTGCGGGATCCATCTGAAGTGTCAGCCGTTCCCGGGGCATCACTGCTCTCCCTGGGTGATGGATATCCACAGGATTGGGCGGAGGAAGGAAGAGAGGATCGCTGTGAACATGTGTTACATAAGAAGGCAATGTCTTTCTATTGATGGCGGATAAATGGCTTGATTTGTCGTCCTAAATAGTTTTTCAAAGAGGAATTAACTGCAGCAAACTTTAGCTTCGTCAAAAACATCTGCAATTTTCAAAATTTTCAAATTTATGCTATATTATTTAAAAGTGGTTGTGTATTTTGGGGACATCTTTGGTGAAAAGTGGGCATTTCAGAGCTTTTTCAGAGTTTTTAGAATAATCGTTATTGTCAAAGTATATTAAGACAGTTGTTTCTGAAACAAAACATATCACTAACAAGCTAACTGAAATAATGACTATAACACGTTATTATTAAGATAAGAAATGTAAAAGCTTTCGTTAATCTAGTCTCAACTTAGACAGTCAAAATGTGTGCAACATCAAACTGTGTTGATGTTCTCCTCTCTATCTCTTTCTAAACATTCAGGTTAACCACTGTGGGACTCAGGCTCCTGTGTGGCTGTCTCTGGGTGAAGGTGAGTCTCTGCCGGGGCCTCTGGAGGTCAGGAAGCTGACGGCCTGTGCTGCCTGGCAGTTCTTCCAGAGCGGCAGCAAAGACTGCTGCATGTTCCGCATCCCGGTCACCGTCCGCAACTGTGGAGACTTCTACGTTTACCTGCTCCAGCCCACGCAGGGATGCATGGGATACTGCGCACAGGGTATGTCAGAACAAAAAAATCTGTATTTGTGAAAATCCTTAATGTAATTATATTACACAAATGGAACAATAAGACAAGCAGCTAAAGTTCAAATGTGCTTGTATTTGATAATGTTAAATCAACACGCTGTTTTCACTTTATATTATATATGACTTATACTTTCATAATGCTTTATGCTGGCTTATAAGAGACAACACAAAATGTTGATCTGTAGAATAAGACTGCAGCAGAGGAATAAGTGTTAAGCTTTCCCTTCCTTTTTAGGATACACATCATACCAACACTTGTGTGCAACTAAGCTGCTTCTGCGATAAGATCTTAGAAACAAAGTGTACGGTGGCATCAATTTCACAGTCTCCTCTCTGTACTATAATCTAGTATGTAAATTACTGTTGATTTCTGATTAAGTGCTGTTATTGCTCTCTTACCTATCTAACAGAAATGTCGGACACTTTACCCACAGCATCGCAGCCGTGCGGCCCTAACGAGGTGAACATCGATGGAACATGTAAAAGTGAGGATCCTGCTGCTGTGTTCATGGCTTACGCTTGTCTCCTCGTGTTAGGTCAAACACCGAAGCAATCAGTAGGTCAGGGAGTTGCCATGCGGTCAGGAATGCACCGTCGGCCCCCTCACCGCCCCTCTTAATGAGTTGAGCATGTGTCCCGGGGTCCGCTGGGCCTCGTCTCCATGGCAACGGCCCTCAGCCAGGTTGTGAATAACACCAAGGCAGGTTTTAGGAAGATGGCAGAGGTGGAAAGGAGGAGGGAGGTTTAATTAGAGATATCAACGAACATGTTCAGTAACTTGTTTTAAATAATAGAGGCTCGGCTTGCTGTGATTCCCAAGCTCACTTTTCTTCTTTTTAATTCAGAGAACAGGCTTTGCTGAATATTTTCTGGCTAGAGCTGCTTAAATACTTTTTATACTTTACATGATTTAATGTCCTTCAGCTTAAGCTACCTTCTTCTGCATAACAATTTGCTTAATTCAGTTATGAGTAATTTATTTAGATGTAGCAGTTGGATTACTTTCCCGTAGTGGGTTGTTTTTTTGGAATGGAAATTAGAACCAGTCTCCAGCCAAATATTTACATTACATTATCAGTTTATAGTTGTTAATTTAATAGTTGCAATAACCAAAAAAAGGTTAGTGATACAACATACTGAACCCACAAAGAAATGGTCCTGTTCACATGTTCCTGGATAAAGCATGGAACTTACAGTATATCACCTCGGCTGTTATTTTCTCTAACAACACTATATAGATCATATAACCAAAAATACACAGACACCTGAACAAAGTATTTAGACAACTAAATGTTAAACCCATATTTGATACAGCTCAGTCTTTAACCACAGGCATTAATATGTTGCTACAACGGCCTCCACTCTCTTCTGGGAAGACTTTTCTCAGGGTATCTGGACCTGGATGGTGTTGAAGTCATGACAGACCAGTCATGCTCTTCCACTCCAAATTGGGAAAACCATTTCTTTATGGACCTGACTTTGTGCACAGGGCCATTGTCATGTTGAAACAGGAAAGGGCTTTAAACTGTTGCCACAAAGTTGGCAGCAAAATTTTTTTGTATGCTGTAACCTTATGATTTCCCTGAATTGGAAGTAAGTGTCCCAGCCCAAAAAATCCCAGATCACAAGTTCAGGGATATGGAGACTAGGCGTCCACATACTTTTTGACTATATTGTAACTATTGATGAAGTCCAAAAGGTAGCCTGGGGTTGGACTTGGCTTTTTCAAATGTGCACAAATCCTTGTATGAGGAGGTTAAAGAAATAGTTGAGCCAATTTAATATTTTATTTCACTTTGACAAAAGACACTGATGTACATTTACTACTACTACTACAGATATACAACCTTGATGTCTTTATAAAAGTTCAAAAAGTCGTATTAACCTCCTTTCCCGCCTCTGATTTTAAGCTGCCTACAACATGCAAAAACCAATTAATAAACTAATTATCATCGTCTCTTCTCTCCGGTCAGCAAAGCCTCCCACTCCATCTGTACCCGTGATCGTCTCAGAGGTGACAGGAAACACAGTCTACCTTAAGTGCAGCTTTGGAAACAGCTCCAACAACTCCCTGGGTTACGTGGTGGCCTGGTCCCGCCTCTCACCTGAGGGCAGGAAAGAGGAACTCAAACAAGAGACCACCATCCAGACCTCCACCTTTATTGAGCTGGACGGCTTCAACCTCCGTCTGGGGGACAAGGTCTGATGCAGGGGGTTCAGTGGTTTAACATGATCTTTGTTGAGTCCAGTTCAGTTTTAAAATGAGTCTCAATGGGTCAAAAAGTGGACTAAAGGGGGGATCCCAAAGACAAGAGCAAGCATAAAACAAATGAAGTCCGACTGTTAGCTACCATTCACCTACTGTAAAACCTTTCAGCAACAACAACAAATATCTTTCTTTCCCCGTCTCTCAGATTTACTGCTCCAGCTCCAGTTTCTTCTTGGACTCTCCCGACGTCCGTGGTGCTTCAGTGGAAAGTCAGGAGTTCTTTGCTGGGATTAGGGTATATAACAGTAATTAAGTAGTTTTATTTAGTTTAGTTTTTTTTGGAGCGAAGAGATTATTTGTGCTGTTTTTGCATGTCTGTGTGGTTCTGTCTGCAGCATATTTAATTTAGATTTTCCCTCTTTGCCATTCAAACCTGTTATCTGATGCTCTCTCAAAAGCTTGTTGGCTAAAGAAATATCATTTTGCCTAATGCCTCTCTCTCTGAATATCATGTGTTGCTGTTGAAGTTTTCTCTATGTATGAAAGGGCTGCTCAGTTTTATAACTGTTTTGTGCAGCTAAGACCAGAGGTGAGCAGTGTATCTGAGGATGGGAGGCTGTATGAGTTGGTGGTTGAGAGCACAGTTTCTGTCCCATGCCTGGAAGAGTTCACCTCCCCTGCAGAGCAGTGTACTCTGCCCCTGCAGCTCAGCACAAGCAGTAAAGGTGAGAACCTGACAACCTGTCCTACGACAAGCTCTCAGTTATAATGAAAATGCAGATTTACCAATCAAAATCCACTGTTATTTGAACCATGAGTCATTCACTTTAGACAGAAGTAAACAAAAGCAAAATGGATGGCAACCATTGATTCTGACGGCTGAAATTGTTGCTGGTAGATTTCAGCTTTAACTTCCTAACTTGTTTCCATGGTGAGTTAGCTGAAAACTTTTTAAGTTTTACTCTGCTGACTTGTATGAATGAATGAAGAACCTGCTTAAATATGCATTTGACAGCTACATACATGATATCATCCTTATACAGTGCATGGGGCTTATACATCTAGTGCATCTTTGCCAGTTGATCAAACATGTAGCAGGCACAGAAATAATAAGACGCATTGTTCTTGTACTGTAGGGTAGAGCTAGTTAGTCCTAGTATTATAGTACAGTATGATGAATTTTTCTTTCTAATATAAGACCATTCAGACTAAGATGATAAAATAAGATGTCCCTTTATTAATCAACTGTAGTGGAAATTCAAGTTGCGACAGCAGCACAGGGGAATGTAAAGAGAAGAACAAAATACAATAAAAGTAGAATCTACGTAGATGTATAAAAATATACACAATCAAATACAATAACTATAATAATTAATGCACAGTGCTGTGTCGGGCTGCCACTCTCTGCGGTGCCGGTGTCGTGCCGAAAAGTGATCGTCGTGATTGCCGTCTGCTGGTGCTGTATCGCCCAGTCTCTTCAATCACTTTCTGGCAAGTGAAATACTGCATTTTATGGGTTGTATTGGCCATTTAAAGGTATTTTAACAGGTAAAAAAGAGTGGATTGGTTGGTAGAACTACACAGCAAGTAAAATAATGCAGAGTCATAAGGATGATTGCAAAATTGTCTTCATTTTATATCTAAGTCGGAAGTAGGTCATGTTAATTATAGGCTACAGTCCGTTTTCCAAATATAAACAAAGAAATTAGACATAGGCCTACCAAACTACCAAACTTTTCGGACGATCACTTTTCGGCACAACACCCGATTCAAATATTTACCTTCGAAACACACATACACAAGTTATTTAGACAAACAACACAAATGTTAGATTGTTCATTGTAGGTGTTTTCAAACTGTGTGTTTCACTTTCACACAAGAAGAGGATTTTAGGATGAGGATGAACAAATGTGTATGGAAAAGTCATTGAGTAGACTAAATTCCAAATACAGGACCGGGACCAGTGTTACACTGGCATATGTGTAATCTGACATACTAATTTAGTGAACTGATATGCATAGAAATGATATAGTCAATTAACTTTTGGCCTAATTAATGCTAGTTCACTAATAATATAAGTATTAATCTATCCAGGCGTGCTAATGGTAGCGGCTCACATTAGAGCTAAAAAAATACACTCTTTAATTCATTCTCTTATACTTAAACTCTTGCAAACAGCTATAATATGACTGTGTACAATATTTTCCTTTAGATACATATACACCACAGATTGATACCACACATATCCACACCTGCTATCCATTAAAAACTTTTGCTCCTTGTTATAGAAATGTTAGACGTGCTGTGCGACTTGCATGTGATGATTGAAGATCTCCTCTCTCCTTCATATATTTGCATATAAGGGTTAATGTGCAAATAATGTGAGGAGATATTAGTGTGTGTTTTTTCATAGAAAATTCTCCATGTCTATAAATGTTATCCAAATTTGCGCATGTAAATAAAAGGAGGGCTATGTGTGGGATGTCAGATTTTCACTGGTGATGTTAATCGTTTTCAGTTTTCTGTTTTAAATAAACTAAACCTCATTCCTTGTTGTGTTGTAGGTGAGGGTTTGTTTGGTGCAGATCTGTCTCTGTCCTCCTGCGTTGTGGATCTGTCCCAGAGCCCCTGTAGGGACGGGGTTTGTAGCCGAGCCCTGGTGCACTTCAGCCCTGTCACTGACTTTGTCAAAGATGGCAACAGGACAACTCAGATCTACGTTAAATCCATCGTCACACAGAATTTTCTCTGGAACGGATACTCACCAGAACCTGTGGAGGTAAACAGATGAAACGGATATTTGTGATACTTTGCTGGTGGTTTATTAATTCATGAGGTTTTATATATTTAATATTTTTTCATTTCTCTATATATTTAGCTTTTTGCATTGTATATTGTTCATATTTAACCCTCTTTTTAATACTTTTTTTCTACGATTTTTGCTTGTTTCAAGCTGCTTTTGTGACATGACCCAGTTATTGTTTTTTAAATATACATTGGAGAACCAATCGAACATTCCTGTACTGTAAATCATCCCGAGTATTTTATTTTAAGAAGGAATTAAATAGATTTTTCATTTCAGATAACAGTGAACGATGTTCCCTCAGCCTATTGCTACTCCTTCACTGATCCTCACATTATCACATTTGATGGCAGGTACTTCAGTCTCTTGTTCAGTTAACTAGGAAACACACTTTATATTTTGTATCATAAACTTAAATTGAATTACATTTGAACAGATTTCATTAAATGTGGACATTTTAAATTGCCGATAATGAATGATGGCCTTTCTGTCTATTTTTGCATGACTAATAATAATAAACTAATAATATATTAACATAATAATTTATTTGTTTATTTACAGGCACTATGAGAACTACCAAATAGGCACCTTTGTTCTCTATAAGAGCAGTTTCTGGCCATTTGAGGTTCATGTTCGTCAGTGGGAGTGCGGCAGCGTGGTGCAAGACGCCTCATGTGTGTGCGGCTTCGTGGTGAGGGACGGCGGCGATGTTATTGCTTTTGACATGTGCAGTGGAGAAATGGGTGAAACCAAGCCTAACCTGTCCGTGAAGAACAGAGACTTGAGCAAGAGCGGCATTCGCATCACCGAGTCCTACCAGGGACGCAAAGTCACGGTAAGTGGGTGATGGTGCAGTGAATAAGACACATGCCGTTGGTGTGAGAGATTCCCAGTTTGGCCCATCCGCCATTATGTCCCTGAGGAAGACACTTAACCCATCGTTGCTCCAGAGGCATGCGACCTCTGATGTGTATAGCAATTGTAAGTCGCTTTGGATAAAAGCGTCGGCTAAATGAATAAATGTAATGTAATGTAAGTGAGGACGAGTCAGACACATTTCAACTACTGTGTATTGAGCATATATACGTAGAGTACAACTGAACTCAAAGCCCCAGCAACTTACAGAGCACTTCCAAAAATAGTTTAAACAGTTTTGAAACATTATTATTGAGGTCAGAAGAGCTGTGAGAAGAAAAAAAATATGCAAATATGACTGAACTGCATTAAAACTCTTCTCTTACTAAGACAGAAAACCAAGATATCACTTAAATGTTAGACAGCATAAGGGGCTCTTTATTTATACTTTGCCAGACCACCTTGTTTATTTTAAAAAAAGTGTAGAAGTTTGCACACTAAAGGTGTGGCCCCAAGGTTTCAAAATGTGACAAACCTGTAAAAATGTAAGATTTAGCTGGCTGCTTGTTGTTAAGGTGACATGCTTCTGTCTTCATGCCTTACTCCTGAATCTGTCTGCAGATGACCTTCTCATCGGGAGCATTTGTTCGTGCAGATGTGTCCGACTGGGGAATGAGTCTGACACTGAGAGCCCCAAGTTCAGACCGGAGCCACACTGAGGGCCTTTGTGGGACCTACGACGGACGGTCAGACAACGACCTCCACGCAGCAGGGGGCGCCACAGTGGAGGATCTGCACGCTTTTATCTCTGAGTGGAGGTTAGTGCTTTTTAGACTGACATACCTGTCTTGGTTTTGGTAGTGGTTGCTGGGAGTATGTTTTACATTGATCAACAGCCATGTGGATTTATGAGTTAGGATTTCTACGAGTTTACAGTTGCATGATTCTCATTCTTGCTTGTCGTCATTTTTTTTGTTGTCATTTTTTAATGTCTGTAACTAGACAGTTAGCTAGCTAGGTAGAAAGAGGACATGTAACCTGTCTACTAAACTCTGATTGTTCAATTGTTTCTCTAACCACCTTTATCAGCAGTCAGGGAGCACAACACTAGACCTCTGGGCAGGGATTGGAACCTGACTAGCTAGCAACTACTAGCTACGCAGGGATTTTTGCCTCTTAATTATTCAGGAGGTTTAGACATTTTAGAAATTTTTAGTAGTCATTTAGGAGCCAGGCATCTACTCCAAAGCTTTGTTCTAGTACACACCATTCACTGTGTATCAGTTGGACAGATGTTATTTGATTATTTGAAAATCTTCAGGAATTTGCTAATAAACATTTCAACTAGGGGAACCCAGGGCCTCTCATCAGATTAATGCGGCCATGCAAAGACCCTCCTGTCAACCCTGTTGCTTTTTCACTGACATCTTCTCCTTTCCTGTCTCAGGCTCCCTCCAGGCAGCAGCCTCTTTGACACTGTGCCATCCCATCTGAGTACATCGAGCCCCCACAAGTACTGCAACTGTCAGGCAGAGCCCCGCCTCACGTCTCCCAGATCCCGATCTCAACCGATCACCTCCTCCACCTGCTCTCATCATGGCCACGTGCATCTCCCTGGTGTCATCCCCACTCTGGACGTCACAGCTGAGTATATCAACTCAGTGGAACTACTCAAAGGTGAAGGAAATGAAAGACAGCCGCTACCTCCTGGCCACTCCAGCCGAAACACCCGGGATCGAGGTAGTGACACTCAGCACCATAAAAGAAGATTCCCCATGAGAGCCTTCAGGGATGGAGCTTCAACCTCAAGTCACCACCAGCAGCCACAGACCCACCATTACGTTTCTAACTCTCCCCACCAAAGCCTCAGCCAGTCTGATCTGGAGGGCTTCACCTACTTTTTCCCAGAGGACCATGAAGCCGCAGTTCAACCAGACTCTTCCCTAACGTGGCCCACGCCTTCTGGGCTGACCGAGCAGCAGGCCAAGACTCAGTGCAAGCACGCTGTGGGAAACTCAAGCATAGTGTTAGGTTGCAGGCGCCTGTTAGGAGAATCATTTATTAGCCGTGTGGTGGCTATGTGTGTTACCGACCTACAGATGAAGGATGAGCTGTCATGGCTGAATGCCACATTACCGCTGCTGGAAAATGAGTGTGAGAGGAGGCTAATGGAGGAGAGGACGAGAGAAGAAGAGTACCAGGATGTTCTGGCTGTCCTCAAGTGTCCCAATCTGTGCAACTGGAACGGCCAGTGCTCAGAGTGGGGTTGTGTCTGCTTCCCAGGATTTGGGTCATATGACTGCAGTGTGCTGTCTGGTAACATACTAAACATACACTGACACAGACACACGAGTCCTAGAGAGGTTTTTAATAAAGATTGATAATAAGCCAAAATTATTGAGGATAAATAAGATATGTTTTTGAGGTCATCTGGAATTTAATTTCCATTACATAGTTTGTCCACCACTGAGTGAGATTAGACAGCTGGTTGAAAATCTTCACTTCAGAAACAACAGTGGCTTAACAGCTGATTATGATGCTGGATGCATTTGGCATAACTGCATTTAGAGGAATTTTGTTGTTCTTTTAGTTTGTTAATCTATTCATCTGTTACTTGCATCTCCCTACAAAATACATACAATAAGTAAAAAGCAGGCTCACACACAAAAACATGTATCCTTTACAGGAAGTTCTGGCTACTAATGTTGTAGTTTTTCCTGCCTTGGGGCAGCAAAGCCAGCTGTTAGCATAACAATAACATTACTTAATTATAACCTAATTATTAATTTGAGTTTGTGTTTCTGTCCACCAGAAGAATTTAAGTCATATATTCACTCTATTTTGTCTCCACCAACTCCTGAGTGAAGTACATGGCTCTTTAACTGGTAAATGAGCCACTATGTTCACCAACTAGTCGCTCATTTTGTTTGTCTGTGGTTTGGTGCTGTGCAGGTAGTGTACAGTGGGTTTATCAGAGCTTTTATTTTGCTGAAAACAGCAAAAAAGAAACGCATAATTCGTGTGATATTGTTATTTTTAATATAAATTGTGTCCAGTCTGGCCCATTATTGTTAGCAATTTCCCCCATGAAAGTTTGAGATTCACTTATATAGTCAACATCCAGCTGTTTCTTTAGATTTATTGAGCAGACCACAGCTACAGCTCACAATATATTAAAGAAAAACAAGCCTTTACTTGTTATAATGGTTTTAAATTGACTTACACACACACCAATTCATCTGTGATACATTTAGCAGTTACTTGCACACATCTATCTTTGACCTTGTTGATCGCGAGACGTATGGTTTGTGATGTGCCATAAATTCTCAAGTTTAACAGTCCATTCTCATCTGCACTTTTTGTTGTTGTGAAGACCAGATCCCAGAGATCACTGAGTTGGAGAAGGAGGGTCTTTGTGACGTTCGACAGGGGGACTGCTCCACCATCCAGGTCTACGGTCAAGGCTTTAAGGACTCCTACGAGCTCAAGTGTGAGTTTGTTAAAGAAAAGGTACTTTGTTTTTCTGCGTCTTGTTTTGTTTCTTTTTGCCCTTGTTTACACAGTGACTTTGCTGTTCATGCATCCTCTTTTCTTTTCTGGCACTATCATATTATACCTCAGAGTTGTGATTAACATTCTGATCCAGTGTTTGATCTCATCTAAACTCCCCATTCAAATACTCTGTGTGAGAGAGTATGTAGCTAATATGTTCTCACAGTTCTCATAACAGGTTAAGAAGCAAGTTTAGTTATAAAAACGAGATACAAGAAACTTCCATTCCATGGATTCACTTGGTGTGTATCGGCCAATATCAGCAAATCATTAAGTATTACATTTAAATTCCTACAGTGAATACATATTACTAGAGATAATTGCTGATGTTCACAACGTACATTTATTTATCTAGGGGCATGACCATTTCAATTATCAAAGTAACAAATATTAAAATTGTTAATTATTAAAAAATGATTGGATACCAGCCGCCAGAGCCGGTCCTCCCTTTTCTACCGCAAGTAGCAGCTTAACTGAGCTCGACTCAACTCGCTGGTGGCTCGCCATCCTCTGTTTTCCATTGCTGATAGTACCCCCTCAATGTAGCTGGTCGTCACGCTGCACACAACTGCCAGGACACAGTGTCCAAAGTGACACACTCGCACGACCTACACACAACAGCGGTCTCTTGATTTAAGTTAAAATGTTTCAACATTCCTCAGAATGTAAAGACAGAAAAGTGGTACAAAAATCTTACAGCTGTGGTTTCCTCTGCTGTTGTTGCTGGACTCGTCTGCTGCTTTGGCTGCAGTGGTCTGTGAGCGTGGCTGGCTCGTTGTGAGAAGTGCCGTTGCATAAGAAAAAGTCATGATACACCTAAGAGTATGTAGAAATGCCAGTACTGCGTACCAGTGAGAACCGGCCCTCTTCAAGCACTGTTAAGATTATGTATGTATGTATGATGTTTTTTACTGCATTTAATACTTTTTAAGCAATCATCATTGACAAAATGGCAAAGCCATTTATCATGACCTTTGCTGCTATGTAAATCACAGTTATGGTGGATTTGTAGTTGTGACTTAAAGGGTTATTAAATTCTACACTGTGCCAACTCACACATATTGAAAGCGATGAGTTCACCATAATGTTCAAACCACTGTCCAAATTTTTCCGCTTGTGGGCGTATTGGGGGTGCTGGGGTTTAAACGTCAGTAGCAAATATCGGATCAAATTTATGATTTATTAATGATTGAAACATTAGGCCTATGTGGGTTTTTACTAGCTGTCACTATTTGATAAAGTAAGCATTTAATTAAACATAATTTGACATTTACAGCTGTGTACAAATTGGACGTGCTAAATGTCTTCAGGCAGAGCAAAATAAACCTCATGCACTGGAAAAATATTCTAGGGGTAAGAGTGAACAAGCCGCTTTCTCAGTACACTATTCTGGTCAGAGCTAAACAATGTCAGCTTGTGATTAGAAAAGGTAGATGCGTGATTTTTGCACTCATACCCAGCTGATCTGTATTTTAATAAATTTTCATCTCTTTCTGTATTGCTACTTTGCCTCACCTTTTCTCTGTCCTTCTCTTATGTCGTCTTTGCACCCCCTACCTCTCATGGCTTCCTCCCTCTCTGCTTCGCTCCCTCTGTGTCTCTTGTCAAGTTTGTGGATGGGGAGTGGATTCTGGACCAGCCCCAGTTTGTCCTGGCCATCTTTCTGGATGGGACGGCTCTTGAGTGCCAGCTCCCCCTGGAGGATAGCCGGGCTCCTGCAGAGCTGGATCTGGAAACTGTCACGAACAGACCACTGGCCCGCTGGCAGATCAAAGTTAGTCATCTCCAACCAATTCTGCAATGTTAACTGTTGAAACAGCAGATCTCATTCCTTATTGATACTGGTCTCTCTTTCTCAGGTTTCTCTCTCTCAGCTCTCATATACTGTTGTCCTTATTTTGCAAGTTATTCTCAGAATCTCTATTTCAGAATCTCCTAATATGAGATGTTCATATTAAATCTGCACTGAAGTAATGAAAAACAGACAGATGTGAAGGTTTGTTTATTTCCATGTGCTGGCAGCAATTGTGGGAATGGTCCACAGAGTGCAGCTGTAGGTTTTCTCCAGTTTCAATGTGGTTTAGAAGGAAAAAGGAATTGATTGCTTTACTCCACTGGCAATTGTGTGAAAGAAAGTAAGGGGGGGAATACTTTTTGACAGCAGTTAAATCTGTTAAATATGTGAACATTTATCTCTGAGGAGGGCCTCCCAGCATCAGAGTACCTGCAGTTTATATTGTTTCCATAGTCGACCTCAAGGTCAAATTACAGACATTACTTAAAAACATTATTCTCAGATTGCACAATGAATTGTACCAACGGGAGCAACTGTTGTTCACCTTATTAGTGTTCAGTTTATTTGTTTAATGCCTTTTCACAGTGATCCACAGTAATCAAGCTTCTGCTGCTGGCAGGTATCCAATGATGGCCACAGCTACAGTAATGCCAAAATACTGACTCTGTATGATGGAGCCTGCCAGATCTGCAGCCTCGACACTGAAGTCCTCTGTACCCTGAGGGTAAGACATCTTTCTCAATAGTAATATTAATTTAATACATGGATCGAAAAGTAGCAATATCTCCAAAGATATCCTCTCAGCCTGCTTTCCTTCATCCTTTTAACATCTTCACCTGCACTCTCAGCCCCCATCAAGTTTTAGAGCTCTGTTTGCACCTGTGCTGGGTGAAACATTGTTTAAAACATGGAGATGTAGAATTAACATCCTTTAGCACAGCTCAGAACCAGTTCAGTTCTAGTCTAGGTAGCATCCGAGGACAGATCTGTGCCAGCCGTGAGTAACTTGGACTGCAGATGAAACATATCTGCTGTTGTTTGATCATTACAGTTCTTTAATCTACTAAAAATAAAAGGCTTTAGACATTATACAGCAATTGTGAAGAATCAGCCACTAATCTCACCCTTAGAGGCATTAAGATTGCACTTAAATCTCCACTTGAAAGTGATTAATCTGTATATATATATACATATATGCAGGATGTCAGTCCTTCATGGCATAGTGTGTTACCGATTGTTATCTTTGTGACTTAATTGCAATAATTTCACTTTATTGGTTTAAAAAAAAACAAGTGAATAAGCAACTGACTTGAAATACTACATGTTAATTTAATATTTGTAATGTGTTTAGTGGCGAATATTTCTAAATTCAACTGGCCCATATATCAATTAGATATGTATAATTAAATGATTTCTAACATAATAAAGTGTTGTTTTCTGCAGGAGAGAGAACATTCATCATGCAAATGTAAATTGTAACAGTACAACTGCTGAGCTTCTAATTTATTGTTGCTGAATTTACTTTATGCTTTAATTCCTTGTTTTATGAAATAAAACTATGAAATATGAATTGAATGGGGTTGATTGTTCTTATGTAGTTTGTATGATGTTTTGGCAATATTGTTGTTATCCATTCATGCCAATAAAGCTAATTTGAATAGAATTGAATTTTGAGCAATCCTTAAAAACAATTTGGTTTGTTTTCCTCAAACCAAAGTGTTTTAACATTCTGGCTGTGTTCTCCTGCTGCCATGTTCTGCGCATGCTTTACATAAACCTATGTAGCTCACTGAGGTAGGTCGGGATTTTGGATAATTAGCCACCAAACAGCTTTTTTTTAAGTTCTGAAAGGCAGTTTGTTTCAAAGAGAAATAAACACTGAACCTTTTTTTATTTATTGTCTTTGCTTCCCAGGAGAAAACCTGCAACATTGACGGCCTATGTTACAATGAGGGGGAGCCCAATCCTAGCAGCCCTTGCCTCACATGTCGCCCAGACTCGTCCAAACACACATGGTCCATAGCAGAGAGTATGTAAACTGAAATGTCATTGTTTCTCGTCTGGTTTGTCTCACGGCTCGCTCATATTGTTATAGACAGCACAGAAGAAGTCTAGACTACACTGTACACAATGCAAGATTGAAAAAGTGTTTAATGTGTCACTTCCTCAGTAGAGCAGACGTTAGATAGCCATGATTTTGGTGGTAGTTGCTCAGGGCTGTTTTCATAATTTGTCGGCAGCTCTGTGCAGATTGGAGCCATTGAAGTTGCTTTAGCCCCCCGGTGCTGATATGAGGACAGCTTACCTCATTGTTACACTTTCTGACCAACTTTGCTTCTTCAACTTAAAGTAGGTCAAATGGTGCTTTGGTCCGTTAAGAAGAAATGAAGTTCAAGTTCAATCACTGATCCGAACGATAACGATGGCAGAAGGCTGATTCCATCTACCCACAATTTAAGCAAATTTATTCATGCATGCATCCAGGGCTTGACATTAACTTTTTTGTCACCAATTTCCCAAAGTTAATAGCCACACATCATTTTCACTAGCCACAATTTTGTTGGTAGTAAATTACCTTTTATATGATTAAAGTTCACTATGGTGTGCTAAAATGTATTAATATTATCGTTAGCTGTGAAAAGGTTGTGTGTAAAGCTCGTTTTTTTAAAAAACATGTAGTCCATCAAGACCAAGACATTAATAAAGCTTATTTATTTTATATAATAAAAGTGCTGCATGGGTGTAAAAGATTCATTGAAAAGATAAAAACTAAACTATTTTTTTTCATCCTATTTATTTATAACAGCACTGGGCTAAATACTGTAATACAGAGTAGAAAAATGATCTGCATTGGAAACAAAAAGCAAAGAATTATGAAATATTTTTGTGTAAATTAAGACAACAGGATTAATTTAATGTAGGCCTATATAAGTTTTGTGCACTTTTGGGTGGTTTGTTTTGCATCTGCATTTGCTCAGAGCTCTGACTGGATTTATGTTTATTTATCATCGTGAAGCTGTAGTAGTTCTGAGTAACTGAATACGTCCACCTGAAACGACTGTACAGGTCTTTATTTGCCAGATTATTCCCATACAAACACATCTCCTGCTTTCCTACGTGGCATGATTACTTTTATTAAAAGTCAACACTGGAAAGGTAGTTGTGATTTGATGATATGATGTGATATGAGTGCAGTCCTGCTAGTAGTCGTTTTATTTTTAAACACTACCCTTAATCATGAAGATATCTGTAATTTTACAGCATTTAATGGCACTTTCCTCTTTCTCCTGTGCATTCCTGTGCATGAAAGCTTGCTTTTCCATCGCTTATGCTGGTTAAGTTGATAATTAATGGCAGGCCAAAACAGCCGTCAGGCCACCGCGACCAGTCCGCTAGTTAAATCTCCACAACGTCTTATTGTTTACAGTGTGGGTCTCTAGTGTGCAAGACAATAGGCTTCACTCTTAGACCAATGAGCAAACACTATGTACGGGTAGTACTCATGGGTCGTAGTGTCACATTTCAATTTGTTTATTTCAGTGTGTGACTAGTGGGAGTGACTGTGTTACCCGCCACGGCTGAAATCCACCCACATTTGGCGAGCGAGTGTTAATGTCAAGCCCTTTATAAATTAAAAGGTATGGCCTAATCCATATTGGATTTTTGAGGCTGATGATGATATTTTAGAGTTAAGAAATCTAATAAAAACTGTACTTTTTTGACGTAAACTTCACTTCTGTCAATCAAGATGTGTACTGATTTTATTATTCCCTCTTTCTCTCATATCATTTCCTGTTATATCTCTACTGCCCTCTTTGTATAAATGGTACCAATAATAACAACAAAAATATAATAAAAAACATGCTAAAGTAAAGATGAGGAAAATACTCAAATACATAAACATGCAGTTGATAAAGCTAAAACAAAATAGAGCTATTATAAAAGTGCTGAGCTATAATTAATGACAAACTAAGTACAGTGTGGTGTAGGTAATGCTGTATTATGAACAGTTAAAATAGCCTTCACAAAATTCTTGTAACTCATTTTCTGTACTGCAATTTCTCATTTGTCATATAGAATTATAATTTAATGGAAGCCAACACAGATTTGTCAAAGGTAAGCTAAAATTGGAAGATAATTACTGGCCACTGTAATGTGTGAGATCTGTCTGAAAGCAGAATTCCTATGTAAAGATTTACCTTCTTTCATCTTATAACAAACAGATTAGGGACTGTAGAAGGCCAAATAAAGCCATGTGACACCACCGATTTGATTGTCTGCATTATACTGTTTTCAATTTGTTCCGACAAAAGTGTGACGTATGTTACATGATTTTTGGATAAGAAAGTCCAACAACAATATTACAAAATCAACAAAAAAAAACAAAACACATTTCATATCTGGGTGAGCAAAGACTTCTCTGTTTGCCACCTTTTCATCCAGTCTGTCACTCACCACATAATGACTCATATTTATTGTGTTTTTATTTTTAGGTATCTTACTTATTCCCTCTTTTGTGTTTCCCAACAGAGAACGAGCCTCCGGTGCTCCAGACGAGGCCTTTTCGTCTTCAGTCCTTCCAGGGGGAGAATTTCATCTACCAGCTACAAGCTCGGGACCCTGAGGGCTCAGCGGTGCTCTTTACCCTGAAATCAGGTCCTGATGGTGCATCTCTGTCTCCGGCCGGCCTGCTGATGTGGAAAGCCACAGCCGAAACCACAGACACACACACTTTCCAGTTTACTGTGATGGACGACTGCAACGCTGAGACCAGAGGCTCCATACAGGTAATGCATACATATTTGAGGTATGCTTTACTTCAGGATTTTGTTTTCATGCCGCTTTCTACTTCTGCTCCACTACATTTTAGAGAACAATATTTTCCTTTTTACTCCACATTGCTTTTACTTAAGTAACATTTTCAGTGCAGGAAATAAATAAAAAAAAGCGTCCACCAAATGACAAGTTATCATTGTTAACTATTTCTGTAAATATCTTCTGTTTCTGTGAATGAATGAATCATGAATTATGTGGATGTTTTTTCTGCATTTTTAAAATATGATTTTGAAAATGTGGTTGGTTTAAAGCCTTTTTCACTTGGTCAGATTTTCATGTTTTCTTTTACACACAGTAAGCCCTTAAAAAACCCAAAACATCTTTTGTCTCTTTAATCTACCCAGGATAGGCTAATTTTGCACCAATGATTTTTATTACACGTGTCGAGTTTATTATAATAATAATAATAATAATAATAATCTTTATTTGTAGAGCACTTTTCAAAAATAAATTACAAAGTGCTTTAACAAGTGTAAAGACAATAATACAAAAACAATACAAGATTAAAGCATGAAAAAAGTTTAGCCAGACTCTTCTGTGCAGCTTTACTGCAGCAGAAGCTCCGTCATGCTTACTCATTCAACAGCAACTTAACAGTGTATACTGAGGGAGAGGTGAGTGTCAGTGTTTTTGAACAGCTAAATTAATTCCTGGCAGTCCAGAATAAGCAAACTAGTTGCGCTTTTGGCTCTGAATTGTTAATTCTTTGTTGCTCCCTCCCACTAGAGGGCGTTAATGATATTTAGTTCTCTGCTCATGTGCTCTATGTCACAACTCTATAGATTCTGATTCAGGTTGTGTGTTTGTTGTGTGTTTACACTGCAAAAAGTGAAAAATGTAAGAATACCCAAAGGTGCCCGAATGCATTCTAAATCTGTTTGATTTAATTAGTTCTGTGTTGATTGATACCGTTGTCCCACAATGCAGTGCACACAGGAAGTAAAAGAGCTGCACGCAGCTGCCAAATTCAATTGCAGATGGTGGTGAGACAGCTCCAGGGACATCTCAGAAAACAGAAATTAAGGATTTAATCTTTCTCTTCCTTTCTCTGCCATGTTATATTGTCAGTGCTGCAGTTTGGGCATTCATCATCTGTGTGCATCTTAAATCATTTCCTGTTCATATAAAGTAGTAAACTACATTGATTTCTCATAAAACTGTATTTCTGTGTAGTATACAGCACATTCTGTATACAGTATTAGTTGTATGACATTGTGAATTCTTTGGTCAGAGAACAGGAGAAACAACATTAAAGCTTTAGCAGATTTGATCTTCTCTATTCAAAGTGGTAAATAATAAATGTAAGGAAAGGTAAAGTAACTTACTTTTAATTTTTGTATATTTATTTTGCCTTGCCCTTAACCAGAATCTGCCGTTTTCAATGATGAGATATTTATGTGCTTATGTTCTAAGACCGTGTACTTTGTTTGACAGTAAAAGTCAATCAATTTTGCTGTTTGTTAAAAATAATACTGGCTTCTGTAAAGTAGCTTTTGAATATGAGTGTGCTTGTTTTTCTTATATATATTTTTCATTATAGTTAATTTATTTGTTTGTTGTTTTTTCTTACATATGTAACTATGTCCATATACTTTCATGAGTGGTCACTGTGGAGTAAAGTGAGTCAAAAGAACACATAAAGCCAGATGTTTGAAATTCACCATCAGCCTAAACATTTTTATATAATAGACTTGTGTTGCTGTAATTAAAATGATGAGACTGTTTTCCCTTCCTTCAGGTGTCTGTGCTCTCTTGTGAATGTCTGAATGGAGCTTCCTGTGTGACCAACGTCAACCTTCCTGCTGGGAGTGGGCAACACCTGTGTGTGTGTCTTGATGGATTTAAAGGTGAAAGGTGTGAGGTGGACATTGATGACTGTAAACCAAACCCATGCAGACTGGGCCGTTGTATTGACGGCCCCAACTCCTTCTCCTGTATTTGCCCACCTGGAATGACAGGTAGGGATCAACCTGCAGAACTGTTTCCTTTAAACCACCTACACAGAGCAAACGCCTTAGGAGGAACTTTTTGATTTAGAAGTGGATTCTTTTTCTGCAGGGCTGCACTTTGAAGGGGCATTAAGTCATCTGTGACCCTCACTGACCTTTAATGCTGGCCAGAGGAATTACAAAAACATTGATCTTTCCGCAGAAGTTATTGCCAAATTATCTGCCAGGCTACCTTGCAAAGGATTTTATTTTACTACCTGGGTCTTGTGAAGATGGCCATCATTCCTGTTGGTTTTATTACATTTAGTCACATTGTGCAATGCTGGGAAATGCAATGATATGCCTGCTAGATGCTGCTTTACAAAGGAGTGCTACTGTAGGTAGATAGATTTATATTATCACAATATAACAGGTTATAGAGTGAAATTGTCTTATCTTCTGGGTCAACTTTGACCTGCTGTACTTATTGTAGTTATACTGGAGGTATTTATTGCAATCAACACTTCTAAACTGGTTTTAATTTAAAATAAATTCTAAAGATTACTAAAACTCATCGCTTACTGTATAATGGCTGAAATTAAGAAATTACAGCATCATATAAAAACACCTTAACAACAGAGTGAAACTGAAAGCCAAAGATGTAATCAACTTGAAAATTGTATTTATTTTGATCAAAAGCTTTATTAACCTGCACTACTTATATACTGGTCACAGGTCACTGTAATTTAACAATAAGCAACTTATTGCCCCTTTAATTTGCATCAGTACTCAGTAAAGACATCTATTTTAAATATTTGTTTATCGCTGTTATGTTCATGTGTGCAGTGTTTCCACGCGTATCATCTGGTGTTTCATGTGCTTTCAGGCCGCACATGTAGAGAAGATATAGACGAGTGCGTCTCTCTGCCTTGTTTCTCTGGAGTGGGCTGTAACAACACGCTGGGCTCCTTCATCTGTGGAGTCTGCCCACAAGGATACAGTGGTGATGGGAAAAACTGCACACGTAATGTCTTCTTCCTCAGATTTTATTTTAAAATTGGCAGCTTAATTTTTTAAATGGTATTCTTGCTTTTTGTTTCAACAAATCCCCTAAAAAGACCAAAACGAACAATGTGATTGTCCGTCTCTAAGGAATTTCCTAACTTTAAATCAGGAAGAAATAGTGCATCTGTTGTGTATTTGGTGCTCTAGGGGCAGCAGGATTGTGTATATGTGATTCATTCATGGTAATGAAGTAACATGTCACCCATTAGAACAGTGTAACTCACTGAGGGTCAATGGAGCGCTATAGCACAGAGGAATGGGATATATCAGACTTTAGCTACACACACAATACTTGTTTGAAGTATTATTCATTGCTGATTTGGGGTTTATACCTATACCCAGATATATTCTATATATCACCAAACTTATCCTTTAAAAAATGCTTATATAATGTTAATTCACATTCAGAAGCAATAAGTCCATCTCAAGGATATGCTGATTTGCTGGCATATCCTCTCATCTCATCACAAGAAGTAAATCTGTCAACGTCTTCCTCTGGGATTCATGCATTCTTACATAAATAAGAACACTTTTGTTCTCCGTTTTCATCCGTTGTGTTTCCAAGGGAACCAAGACTCTCCAGTCAAAGCAGTGACCACATCATCATCAGTGCCGCAGGTTTCACTGTCGCCGTGCTCCGGACGGGCATGTCACCCAGGAGTTCAGTGTTTTGAAAGCACTTACGTCTCGGCAGGCTTCGTCTGTGGACCCTGTCCTCCCGGTCTTCATGGAAACGGACGAACATGCACAACAGCAGGTGAGAGTGGATCATTTCAATTCAAACCTGAAGCTGGTGAAAGGACAACGGTGACCAAGTTGTATGTTTTGATTTGTAAACAGTAGGCCAGACCCGCACAGAGAATCTGAAAGTTGTTGAAAGAAATATTTGTTTAATATATGTACGTGTTTACCTACCATTATATGACAATAGTTATTTCAAACACTAAAAATTACTTTTACATTAAAAGTGACATTTTAACTATATAAATGTTATTGTCAGTATTGTTGTTAGTTGAACTTTTTTTTACTTTTTACTTTACTTTTTAAATACATTATTTAATGTAGATTTTTTTTTATGCATATTGTCGTTAGGGCTATAAAGTACAAGTTATTAGATAATAATTGTATCTATAAAGCAAAACAAAAAGCACAGCAACAAATTTATTTGAATATATATTAATATATATTAATATATATATAATAATAGCAATAAATAAGAAATAAATAAACAAGTTCAAGTTTTAAGAGCATACATGATTAGATTAAATACATTTAGATCTAATTAGCATAAGAATGTGACAGTGGGATCAATAATACAAAACATATATGAGGATAAGAATAGAGGGACACTAGTTAATTGTTGTAATGGTTAAAATGTCTGTTGTTTCTTTGTCTTATTGTATTTTTTTTAAACTAGTAAAGTAGAAGATTAGAATTTAGTAGAATTATAATTAGTTGACAAACAAGTAAAAAAAATCAACTTATTATTTATTTATTTATGTTGTTATTAAAAATGATTTAATTCAGGATTTTATTCCATGTGGTCACTTAAGAGTTGCATGTTTTAATGTTGACAAACCAAAGTTATATTTGTCTTTACGTCATATCCTCTAACTTCCAGTATTTTACAGGTCAGGGGACTGTCGCCAGCAGAGCAGATGGCCACATTCATATCATCAAATCAAATTCCAGCAAGGAAATGATTCCTACCTCCTCCTCTTCATCATCTCCCACCTCACCCAGACGACCCCCTGACAGGAGGACAAGACCAGATGCCACCAGCTCCAGTATCAAGAGAGCTTCTTCCAGCGACAGAAAGACCACAGCAACTCTAAAGAATCAAACTGCAACCAGAGCGTTCGTCCACAGAGGTGAGCCCAGCGGGGTGGAGCTGAACCCAGACCTCACCACCGGGGTCAGATGGGGGTCACCGTCTCACCTTGTGACCTGTGCTGACTCTCCCTGCTTCCCCGGTGTTCCCTGTGAGCCCACCGTCACCGGGTCCTTCAGGTGTGGTCGCTGCCCGTATGGTTACACTGGAGACGGAGTTGCATGTAAAGGTACTTAGTGTCAAGGTTTGTCTTCACAGCTTCCAGACGTTCAATACGGAACAAAAAGGCAGTGATCAGGCAAACTTTATGGTTATTAACTCATAATGTATTACTCTCTGTACGTACATTCATATTTCTGAAAGGAAGAGAATACATACTGTTTAGCCCAAATTGTCCAAATGAGACTATTATCCCCTTCCTTCATCGCTAATAAGATGCCTATGAATGCGAGACAAAGATAAAAAAAACGATTCTGCCACGTCATGACAATTATACACAAACCTCATCATCTTTATTTAAATAATATTAGTCGCAGAAGCTGTTTTAATCATGAATGTTTCCAGTTCTCTAACACTTTTCAGCTCCAACTAAAAATATATTAGATACAGTACTAAGAGAAAATGTTTCAAATGAGATTGCAAAACATGGTGTATCATAATACAATATAGCATGTTTTGGCAATTTCAAAGCATAGTTTTAACAAAATAAGAGAAAACAACATACCAAATTTCAAGAAAATAATACACATCTTTTACAATGAAATAAGTCAAACACACATCTGATGGAGCTGGTGAGTCATATTTCAAGGCATTGTTGGCTGTGACACTGTACATAAAACTATATTGGTATCAAATAATCTTTTTTAGTGAATATATTTATCATTTGGTGACATGATGGTCTGTTCTACTGTTACACTGTTGTACCATTATCTCATAATTGTCACTGGTGGCCACAGTTGAGGAAATGTTACTTAGTGTAGCTTTAAAATATAAAATAATAATTTTAAAGGCACCAAATGTTTGGCATTTGTATTGTAGGATAAATTACTTTAGGAGGTAACCATTAGTTTTATTCTAAACTTCCTTATGCTTTGGAGTGGCAAGTCCTCCCATAACGTGTGGATTTGTTTTCAGCTGCGTGCAGGTTTCAGTGTGGGAGAAACATGGAGTGCACTCTGCCCAACACCTGCACCTGCAAGGACGGCTACACCGGGTACAACTGTCATATTGGTGAGAGGGAGAGCATTTTGACAAGTTCATTAAATCGTATCACTCTTTAACGACTGTCTGCAACTCACACAGTTTCAAGACATTAAACCTTGGAGTACTCTGCATGCTGTCATGGCACATTACTGTTGAATCACTAAATGGTTTGGCTCATTTATTTCACCATCCGATTTTATTCGTTGCCAAAGCTGCCACTTTTCTTCCCTCTCAGCCGTGTGTCGACCTGACTGCAAGAACCAGGGGAAGTGTGTGAAACCTAATGTGTGTGAATGTCCTGCGGGCTACAGTGGGCTCACCTGTGAGGAAGGTAACCTGAACTCATATTCACACCTGTCTAACATGCTGACACTCACACGCACTGCTCACAAAATACTGATGAGTATCCTTTTGTTGTTTACAACCCTGTGTCGGTGTGTAGCGAGCTGCGAGCCGCCTTGTCAACATGGAGGCACCTGTCTCGCCAGAAACCTGTGCACCTGCCCCTACGGCTACGTGGGACCCAGATGTGAAATCAGTGAGATGTTACTTAACATTTTGTGATGCGTTTGTACAAATACAGTTTGTATTAAGATGGCAGTACGTCTGTAGTACTGGGGCAGGGACACATTTTTTTACGGTTTTGACTCGAGCACATTAGAATAGAAATTAAATAATGACTGTGAGGTTTAAGTGCTACAGTGAGTCAGATGAGAAGATTGATATCACTGTCATGTCTGTGTGATAAAATATGAAGCCACAGCCAACAATAAGCTTAGCTTGGCATGAAGACTGGAATGTGCTAGCCTGGCTGAGACCAGGACAGGGCCTCCAAAACTCACTAAACATCATCATCATCATTATATCTGGTTTGTAATCCCTAGAAAAATAAGTTGTGGCTAAGTGTTATGTTACTTCCTGGAGCCAGGCCACCAGCAGATTTTAGTTTTTATTAAGGTCTAAACTAACAGGACATGTGTACATTTGTGAGCTTTAGAGGTGCTGGTGAACAGATTTTTGTTTACTTTTGGACAAATGCTGAACTATTTGTGTAATTTGGGAGTGTTTGCATGCACATCAGATGAACAGTTAAGAACTTGTGACCCTATTTATAGCCCAATTTCCGGAGGTAATTGGACAAATTAAGATATAATAAGATGATCGTGGCCAGTCAGGACGATTCCCATCAAGGACTGTGACACCGTGTCTGCACAGGAGGCGTAGCATGAGCAGCATGTTAGCAGAGCAACAGCAGCAGCTTCAGTGCTCCATGTGTGTCTACATAGGATGCATTCAGGTGCTGTGTTGAGTGTGGGTCACCAACGTTTTGGCTGCTTCCAGAGCACAACACACAATCACTGTAGTTACACGCATAATACGGAAGAAAATACACCTGTAGACACCTGTATTGATTTAACAGAAACATATCTGTTCACAGCTGAAAAGCTTCCTGTGTAGACACGACGTGAGTGGTACGCTTTTACCCCACTATGGATATTTCAGCACCTGAAACTCAGTCACTGTTTCATTTTGATTTCAGTGTAGCCACAACAATTAAACGTGTCACTTCCCCAAGACCTATGGACTGAAAGTATCAAGTGCTCACTGCTATACTGTTTCAGTAGCTGTTTCTGTAGCTGGCACTCTGGGGCCACATGTAGAAGTGTGCTTATTAATTATTAATCTGTTTCAGTGGTGTGTAACAGGCACTGTGAAAATGGAGGTGAATGTGTTTCTCCTGATGTCTGCAAATGCAAACCTGGCTGGTACGGACCAACATGTAACTCAGGTACAACCTAACACCTATAACCAAGTGTAATGTAAATGCTCCGTACTTGTATAGCACCTTTCTAGTCTTTTTCGACCACTCAAAGCACTTTTACACTACATCTGCATTCACCGTTCACACACATTCATACACAGGCAGACAGCCGCCAGGGGCAATTCGGGGTTCAGTATCTTGCCTAAGGACACTTCGACCTGAACCGCCCACCTTCCGATTAACCGATACACTGAAGATTCAGAAGAAAGCTTGAAAGACAAATATTGAATCTGCGGAATCAAAATGTGGCTCCTTGTGTTTTCCACAGCTCTCTGTAACCCTCTCTGTCTAAATGGTGGAACATGTATTAAGCCCAACATCTGTGCCTGTCCCATCGGCTTCTATGGCTCTCAGTGTCAAATCGGTAAGACTATGATGAATACGTATCACAGTGACACATTTAACTGCGCTGCTGTTCTACCTCAGAGAGAGACTGTACAGAAAATGTTAATGCTGATTCCATTTCTGACTGCAGCTGCATAAAAACAGAATGTAAATCTTGGATCAATCTGTTTTTTGTCAATTAATTTAAGAATATCATGTACCCCATGACAATTGTAAAATGTGGATCACCAAGCTGTAAAAGCTAGAAGACTTTCATTAGTCTGGGTTTTAAGAATTTCGAGAGTTTTATGGAGAGTGTCCCATAATGGTCTAACAGCCGTTTCAGTGGCGAGAATTTAATTCTGGGGGAAACTGAATTCTTGTTGTATTTTTGGTATAAAAATGCCAGATTTAAAGAATTGCCAGAAACTCTTTTATACAAATATATTAGCAAGGTTGCAGTGTTGAGGGTTTATTTTCACTAATGATATGGCGATTATTCACTGATCCTACACAAACTGAGTCAGAGTTCGGGGTCAGGTAGTCACACCTCGCTAAGGGGTTTCTTGTTATTTAATACACCAGCTTTACCATGAGAGATGTAATGCTTTTTCACCTTTTTGTTTGGACAAAAATGTTACATTTCAGCCTATCTGACCTTGAGAAGTATGAAATAATTATGCACAAGAGATTTATTTAAAGAATTGGATAAGTGTTAACAAGTTGGATTTATATTTATATTATTCCTCCTGATATTTTCACTGTTCAATATTGTGGTGTTTTTCAGCTGTATGCAGTCCCCCTTGTAAGAATGGAGGTCAGTGTATGAGGAACAATGTATGCTCCTGCCCTGAAGGCTACACAGGAAAAAGGTGTCAAAAGAGTAAGTAAAACCGCTGACGGTAGTCTCATGTAAAATAATGCCACTGGTAAAATATGGTAATGTGTAAACAAATGTGTTCCAGGTGTATGTGACCCAATGTGCATGAACAAAGGCAAGTGTGTGGGACCCAACACATGCTCCTGTGCGTCAGGATGGAGAGGGAAGAGGTGTAACATACGTGAGTGACCTCATTATATGTTTTTCATACGCACAATATACATCACAGGCAGTAAAGATCATTACAGTGGTATTGGCATAGGAAGGTTAGGGTTAACACACTTTACAATCCCAAAATAGGGCTGCAACCAAGTAAAGCATCCCATTAAATGTCAAATAATTTAATTTCATAGTTTAACATTGAGTTTAGGAAATCCTCTTAAACCACAGTAAGTAGTGACTCAAAACAAGCATCAAAGGAAAATGACATTTTCACCCTGTTTGACACTGTTGCCATAACACACATATTTATCTAAGTATCAATACATGGCTAAAGATTTATTTGTATTTTCATATCAAAATCAAGAAGATTACTTTTAGTTTATGCAAAACCAGGAAAAGTACTTTCAAATGGCCTTGCATCCCACCCTTACATCCTGTTTCAAGATGAAATACATGGCAAATAATAGGGGCAAAATTAGGTTTGCGTTCAGCTCCGACAAGACGTAGCAAAATGTTAATTTCAGTGGATGTGTGGTTTGAACACTGTTTTGTGTACGCAAGCGCACTGCACTTCACTGCACGGTTTTCATCCACACCTTTGGTACCGTGTCCAGGTCACGGATGCAGTGTGGGTGGTTTTTATTGCCAAAAAAAACATTTGCTTATCTGCTGTTGGCTGTGTTCACGCCTCCCTCTCTGTTCTCACTGTAGCTGTCTGTCTGCAAAAGTGCAAAAATGGCGGCGAGTGTTTGGGGCCGAACACCTGCCACTGTCCAACCGGCTGGGAAGGTCTCCAGTGTCAAACACGTGAGTTTATTCCTGATAAAACAATGTAGTAATATAGTAATATAACATATAATAATACATTTGAATTATGTAATCACAAGTGCTACTGTGTTGAGAAAAAGCCTGTAAAATGTATTCCCTCCTCAGCGGTCTGTGAACAGCGGTGCTTGAATGGAGGGAGGTGTGTCCTTCCAGATTACTGCCACTGTCGGAAAGGCTACAAGGGCCTCACCTGCCAGATAAAGGTCAGCATTGGAGTCACACTTCATTTGCAGTATGTCTCTGTGGTTCAGTGGGAAAAGTACTAACCAACACTAATGACTGAAGGTTGTATTCCCTCTGGGGATCTCCTTTTTCCAGTTTGTATTATTCTCATGTATTAGTGTTACATTCGAGTCACAGAGCTAAGCATCTGTTTCTCTGAAAGATAAATACCCAGCGAGTTTTGAAAACCCCAGAAGGCCATTTAACAGAGTCACAGGACCAAATATTTCAGATGGTTACTAGAGTCTGCAAGTAATGTTAAACGACCACTGAGTATTTATCTTAAATAAGATTAGCTCTGTGACTAGGATGTAACACTAATACATGAGAGGCACTAACTTGATCTTGGGCTCTCGGTGCTACAAAAATGCACACATGGTAATGTTTGATAGAATTAAAAGGCATCCACCTCCATTGATACATTAAAAATGTATTACGTGAAATCTAACTAATGAATTTTATGTTTGCACCCTTACAGGCATCACAAGGATGATGAAAAGAAACGAGACGTTGGATGAAAGAAACTACAAAATGCACAAAACATAAAAGAGAACACCAAAATTGCTGTGTGTGTTTGGCCATGTGTTTGAATGTGTGGGTCTGTGCACATTTGAAAGCCAACAGAGGGACTTGATGTATTGCACTTGTCTTTTCGTCCTTATATATCACTACCTCAAGGCTCAAAGTGACACATATCTGTTCAGTGGATCCGCAGTGCAGAGACTTTATACAGATATGCGTGTGTTACTGAACAGTACTATGTAAAATAAGTAAAGGACAAATGAATCAGTTTCAAAGATAATTCATATGTTGTAGTTTATTACCATTTTAGCCTAATTATAGCCTGGTTTAACTTTTACCAAACTGATGCGTACCATTTCTGATATGAGGGAAATAAATCAAAGTCTGCTCTATTTATAATGCCTAATTTAGGTGGTACACATCTGTTACTTGTTTTAGACTGAAGATATTGATATGAATATGCTGCAATTTAACAAAATGCCTTTGTTTATTTTTCTTTATTACTTCATTAATATATTGTTTAATTGCACCCGTTTAACTTATGGACTGATATTCATTTAAACCAAAACTACATATATATATATTAAAGTAAAGACCACCTTTTGGCGTTACATATAGCGGATAGGGTTTGTTTTCTAGAAAAAAAGAGAAATCTGTCAAAACCAGATTACACTGTGGCACAAGTTACATGTGACAAAATAAAGAAATTGTACTATTTTTATGCTTTGTTTCGTTAAATGAGCTTTGACAATGCATGCAATTCACTCTTTTGTCTTCATTTAATGACACAAATTACAGTACAGTACGTAGCATGTTTATACAGTCAAATGAGAACATTTTAACAGGTTGGATGTTTCTTAAAAAAAGAATTACAGTACATATAGTAAAAAAAAAAAAAAAGCTATAAAAGGACAATGCTTCAGCTAAAAGAATGTAATGTCCTCATCAGCAATGAAGTCTCTTATTGGTCCACCTTTAACCCCAGCAGGGTCACATTAGTGGGACTTTTTCCTCTCTTCGCAGTGAGGGCCAGAGAAAGGGGGGCGACAGCGGCATTTGTTTGGAGAAATACACTTCCCTCCATTCAGACAGGGCTTGGTGCACACAGCTATAGCAGAGACACAAAGAACAGACATAAGGGACAACAAATAAAAAAATGCTTTTAATCATTTGTAAAACCTGAGAAAGACGTAAATGACTGAAGAGCTTGTAATTCCAAACACCACAAGTCCAGCAACTGGCCAAAGAGGTGAAAAGTCTTTCCATGCCTGGGTTTTGTCACATCTGGAAAAACACTCAGTTGCCTTAGCAGACACGTGGCAGACTGATACCTGTAGCGTTATTCTTAGTAAGATGTGGACAGCACAGCCAACAGTGAATATAGTTTGGACGAGTCAGAGAGGAAGAAGTGAGAATCAAATGAGCGTTGATGCATATGAAAGTGTTTTGTCTTTGGGACTAGTTTGAGCTCACCAGTGTGACAGGCGCCCCCCAGCCATCCCTCCGAACAGCTGCAGATTCCTGGAGCCACACAGATTCCCCCGTTCCTACAGCCTTGGGGACAGATCGCTGCATGAGGAACAAACCATACAAAGACATTATCAGCATGTCAGATTGGAGCTTCCGCTACAGGTGACTCACATTTACTGGAGGCTGAGCTTCAGTAGAGGCGACATTAGGAAATGCCCTTATTTGCTTTCTTAGTTAGGTGAGAAGTTCAGTACCCCTTTCATTCAGTGGTAACAAGTGTTGAACTATTTAATCTTTAATCTTAGTAGGTGAAAATGGAGCCAAGACTTTTTGTTTTCCAAAGCAGGCTAGCTTTAAAGGTGAATATGCTGGCAGATGAGACCGTGGTCCAAGCAAAAATGTATGTTTACATATAACAATTTTATATATTGGAGGTCAACAAGCTAGCTAACACCAGAGAGCTGAACAACACTAGCATGGCAGATCTCGTGCAGTGTTTTCTGTGGGAGATGGAAAACTCCCTTTGGGCTGGACTTTGGTGTTTTTCACTTTGCAAACCTATTACATGCACAAAAAAAGCATAATACCATGTCTTTAAGAAAAAAAAAGGGTAACGTGTAGCTCTTTTGCTTCTCCAATTTACCAAAGGTTTATCTTAACCAATAAGATTGTGAGACATGTTTGCTATGCCCAACTTGAACTGTAATTTACTGCCAAGAATGTCTCAATCATGATTCATAGCCGTAAACTTTAATATCATTCATAACAACTAAGTTAGCTGAAAGGCTGCGGCGGAAGACCAAATGTTGCATCCCATCATGAAAACTACTTGGAACTAGGAAAGGCTTAGAAAGGTTTTAGGAGGGTACTGCTGATGAACAGCTCCAGCTGAGAGACCTGTGGTGTTAATAAGGCAATTAGATACGGCTATAAAACAGACCCTCTTGGCATTTTGAGCCGGTCCAGCTTGAGGGGCAGATGCATTTGGCCACTCCGTTGACAGCGATGCATTCCCCTCCGTTCCAACATCCCCCATTACACGTCACTGCCAAAGAACATACACAGATGTTGCTTAGATAAGCTCTGCCTGTCCTCAAGATTTTAGAAATATATTACTTGGTCGTGATTCCTAATTCCCCTAGGGCAATCCCCCTGACACCAAAAAAACTCACATTTATTAATTTAACTGTTTAGTTATATTTTCTGTAAATGTTATCGCCCTACAAAACTGTCTAAATCAGTGCTTCCCAATCTTTTGGGTTTGTGACCCCTAAAAATGATTCTATATATACTTAGAACCCCTAGTCTCTAGTTGCATACTCCTACAAGTGGTTAGAAGCTTAATATAAAATTATCCAGTACAAAAGAAAGTCTGGTTCCTGTCCTGTTACTTTTCTTTCAACTCATCAGATTTATCTTCCAAACCCCAGATTGAGAAACACTAGCCTAAATGCTGTTTAAAAGAATTCTTCACACTGACATAACTCTGGAGATAAACACAAAATACCTTCATTTTATTTTTATTTAAACTTAATGCTTTACAAAAGATAGACACAAACAAATACATTTACTTGTAAATAACCTCATACCTTGTAAATAACCTCATAACTATCTTATAAAACCCCAGTATGTTTCAATTAAGTGTACAAAATTGACAAATTCACAGAACAAATACTGAGGACAGGACCTTGGTTTTGTCAATGATAGCTACATAGCTAATACTGATAACCTAACCTTTAGGCTCATTTACAAAAACAGCACATAAAGATGGAACTACTGGAGAAATATTTACTGTATGTATCTAGCTGCTCTACTTTTCAACTGGAGGTTAGAAGGAATCTGGCTAATATCTGGTAAAAGAGGGGCAGCTGTGTATTGGAATGTATGTAAATAGCTCTACTGTATAACGTAGAAGAAGGAAAATACAGCACAGATGCAGTTACTACAGGATGGATTCAAAATAAATGTATGAAGACTGATTTCCAGACTTACTAACACTATGTGAATTTGCAAGCCTTCTTAAAAAGTAAACAACTTTCAGAGTCTTCCAGGCTTCCAAATCACAAAAAAATGTCAACAAGTGCACAATAACTGTTGGTCAAGCCAGATATTTCTTTTAAAAGTCAAAGTCAAACAAACCAGCCTACCTTTGTGGCAGTATTTTCCTCTATATCCTGAAGGACATCTGCATTTTCCAGGGCGAAGACACTCTCCTCCATTCTTACATTTGGGATAACAGTTTGCTGCGTTCACACAAGGACACTGCTGTGAATACTCATGTTAGAAGTTCTGATAATCTTTTTCTTTATTATTATGATGAGGAGTATGCTCTTTCATAGTATTTTGGAGATGTCTTAAAATCAAGATGCTTTCTTCCCCATCAACATAGGACTGTTTAGGCTAACGCTGATAAATCTTTGTAAAATACCTTCTACATTGAACTCATGTAAGTTACATTAAACCTGCTTAAGGAGAAAGCATTTGTAATTCATTTTTGTCCACAAATATCTTTAAGGAGAAACAGGAGAAAGAATATACATTAAAAACACAGATAGACAGACAATGTAATTTCAGTGACAAGCATGACGTAGGTCAAAACAAGGTCTAAACTGCACTACAGACCTAAATTGTCCTTACTGGAAAACTTAAACCAGCTTTGCACTTTAACTGCACTTAAATATAAATGTAGACAAAAGGTCTGTAACATCACCATACTGGCAGGTCTCGCCTTCATAACCCTTGGAGCAGAAACATGTGCTGTTGCGGATGCAGATTCCTGCGTGTTCGCACGGCGGTTCGCACTTCGCTTTGGGGTCAAAAACGAACCCGAACGCGACACCGCGGGGAGCGTCCGAGCGCGCGGAGCAAACGCCGACAAGAGCGAGCAAGAAGGCCAAGAGCACCGTTGAACAGAGACCCGTAAGCCCCATGTTTGGTCTTGTTTTTACTTAACTGGGGAGAGTAAAGGAACAGACAGACGGAGGAGAAGGTCCTCTACAAATAACGAGACCTCTCCACGTCTCCCCCGCTGTTGAATGCAGGGAAACGACAAGGTTAGTGCCGGGGGGAGTGTCCTGCTGTGGGGGCTGGCTGAGTGTTGAGATTTGAAAGTGGCCACGGATACACAGACATTGCGGTAAATTACACATAATACATAACATTTTAGCCAAAGCAGTCTGGGTAATGTTATGGCAGAAAATTGTTAGTACATTTAAAAGACAACGGTTGGTTGTAACTCAGTTATTTGCTCAATACAATTTTCCACGACAGGTAACTTTTGGAATCTGAATCTGAACCTATAATATTTTTATGAATAAACGCCTGAATTGTAGCTGTATTGTTTCAGATAGGACGTGTAGGCCTACTTTAAACAGACGTTAAACGAGTTTAAGGAGTGTGCGCATGCACACCTCGCCTGTCTGTGTGTAGGCCTATATGATGATGATAATAATAATTAATGCGATGTTGATTTAGACTTGCGGCAGGATGTGTTGTGGACTGGATGTTTGTTGTTTGTTTCATCTGTATGTTCATGTGTTCATGTGTATGTGAATTTTAGTGCGGTTTGTATTCAATATGTACGGAAGCCCTAAGCAGCCATCAATTCATATTTTTTATTTTACTCCGTTTTCCCGTGATAATCATCTCATGATCTCGAGATAACGACTGTTGTTTTCTCTGATAACGGGATAATTTTCTCGTGATCTCGAGATAATGAACCATAGCTGAATACAGGGGTCCTGCATTTCTTTAGCTAATTTTTCGTGTCAATTGCCAAGTCAGGATTTTGCTCAGTTGGTAGAGTGCAGGATTTGCAGCTCAAGAATTGCAGGTTTGACCCCCTGCTCTCTGCAAAGTTTTTTTTTTATTCATCTTTTGTGTGTTTTTTAATCATTCTCTTCAACAAAGTTGTTATCATGAGATTCTGGGGAATCCAATCACACATTTCTATTCGGCTATTTCAAAGGTTGTGAAATAGCCGTCAGGAAATGTGTAGTTAAATGGATTCCCCTGAATGAGAAGCGGATAAATTTCCTCTGCCTGGAAATGAAAAGTCCATAGGTGATGAATGTGGACCAATCGCCGGGATGCGCACACTCCAACACGTGATTAATTGTGAGCATGTGACTCAGTCATCTTCATAACAACTTTGTTGAAGAGGAATATGAAAAAGATTTTTTTTTTTTAAAGTTGGGTTAGGGTTAGGAGGATCAAACTCATAATCTTAAAACTTCAAGTCATGTACCTTAATCACTGAGCTAATTAGTGACACAAAAACCACCTTGAAATTACCATTAAGAAACGTTCTTGCCAACCTCTGTGTTAAACTACTATTATCTCAAGATCACGAGCAAATGATCCTGTTATCACGAGAAGGCAAGAGTCGTCTCGAGATCATGAGATAAGTATCCCGTTATCATGGGAAAACGGAGTAAAATAAAGATATGAATCGATGGGCGCTTAGGGCTTCCGTAAATATGTGTATGTTCATTGTGCATAGATACAGTGGGTACGGAAAGTATTCAGACCCCTTTAAATTTTCCACTCTTTGTTTCATTGCAGCCATTTTCCAAAAATCTAAAAAGTTCATTTTATTTCTCAGTAATGTACACTCAGCACCCCATCTTGACAGAAAAAAACAGAAATGTAGAAATTTTTGCAAATTTATTAAAAAAGAAAAACTGAAATATCACATGGTCATAAGTATTCAGACCCTTTGCTCAGTATTTAGTAGAAGCACCCTTTTGATCTAATACAGCCATGAGTCGTTTTGGGAAAGATGCAACAAGTTTTTCACATCTGGATTTGGGTATCCTCTGCCATTCCTCCTTGCAGATCCTCTCCAGTTCTGTCAGGTTGGATGGTAAACGTTGGTGGACAGCCATTTTCAGGTCTCTCCAGAGATGCTCAATTGGGTTTAAGTCAGGGCTCTGGCTGGGCCATTCAAGAACAGCCACGGAGATGTTGTGAAGCCACTCCTTCGTTATTTTAGCGGTGTGCTTAGGGTCATTGTCTTGTTGGAAGGTAAACCTTCGGCCCAGTCTGAGGTCCAGAGCGCTCTGGAAAAGATTTTCGTCCAGGATATCCCTGTACTTGGCCGCATTCATCTTTCCCTCGATTGCAACCAGTCGTCCTGTCCCTGCAGCTGAAAAACACCCCCACAGCATGATGCTGCCACCACCATGCTTCACTGTTGAGACTGTATTGGACAGGTGATGAGCAGTGCCTGGTTTTCTCCACACATACCGCTTAGAATTAAGGCCAAAAAGTTCTATCTTGGTCTCATCAGACCAGAGGATCTTATTTATCACCATCTTGGAGTCCTTCAGGTGTTTTTTAGCAAACTCCATGCAGGCTTTCACGTGTCTTGCACTGAGGAGAGGCTTCCGTCGGGCCACTCTGCCATAAAGCCCCGACTGGTGGATTGCTGCAGTGATGGTTGACTTACTACAACTTTCTCCCATCTCCCGACTGCATCTCTGGAGCTCAGCCACAGTGACCTTTGGGTTCTTCTTTACCTCTCTCACCAAGGCTCTTCTCCCCCGATAGCTCAGTTTGGCCGGACGGCCAGCTCTAGGAAGGGTTCTGGTCGTCCCAAACGTCTTCCATTTGAGGATTATGGAGGCCACTGTGCTCTTAGGAACCTTAAGTGCAGCAGAAATTTTTTTGTAACCTTGGCCAGATCTGTGCCTTGCCACAATTCTGTCTCTGAGCTCTTCAGGCAGTTCCTTTGACCTCATGATTCTCATTTGCTCTGACATGCACTGTGAGCTGTAAGGTCTTATATAGACAGGTGTGTGGCTTTCCTAATCAAGTCCAATCAGTATAATCAAACACAGCTGGACTCAAATGAAGGTGTAGAACCATCTCAAGGATGATCAGAAGAAATAGACAGCACCTGAGTTAAATATGAGTGTCACGGCAAAGGGTCTGAATACTTATGACCATGTGATATTTCAGTTTTTCTTTTTTAATACATTTGCAAAAATTTCTACATTTCTGTTTTTTTCTGTCAAGATGGGGTGCTGAGTGTACATTACTGAGAAATAAAATGAACTTTTTTGATTTTTGGAAAATGGCTGCAATGAAACAAAGAGTGACAAATTTAAAGGGGTCTGAATACTTTCCGTACCCACTGTATGTGGCAGTGTGTGGTGTCTGAATAAAGAAGTGTTATGTAACAACTCAATACTCATACATCCGTAATGTTGGCCTCTGTTTCAATATGCCCTCCACCTCTCTCCAGCTCTAGTTGTTCTAGTTGAAATCCCAAAGTTTTCAAAGATGCCAACTACGTCAGACGGAAGGAATGAAATTTTGCAGTCATACAGACACGGGGTCTTGGGTTTGAATATTTCTCATCATATAGCTTCAATGAAGAGCATGAATACTAAATATAGGATCCTGTCATACAGTGGAATAAAATGATTTTAACAACCTTTAATGGTACTTAAAGGTTGTCAATATGTTATGGGGTTAAACATACAAGGTGACTTCAGTTTTCAGTAATGCTCACTCAGTGTATTCACATACTGTACATAAAACAAAGACAAACAAAAACTTGAACAGAAATCCATCATGTAAAGCCAATTTGGTATTAATAAATAGATAAACAACAAATCTACAGAATCAATATTCCAGGGAAGTTGTTAATGTATATACAGAGTTGTGGCATCTTGTACATTGCGATGGAACTTGGACATTGTTTTATAGGGTCAGTTCATCCAAATTTCTAAATCAAACAAAACATAGCATTTTCATTTACCTCTAGTGGTATCAAGCCTTGCAGGTAGCTTTGGTTTTATTTGTACAGGTTTTGAGATATCCATCTCCAAAGATTTCTGTCCTTATCTAAATACAACAGAGGTGAAAAATTAAACAGTAACAGTGCCCCACTTACTCTGGATAAGTGGGGCATTGTTACTGTTTAATACTGTTAATTTTTGATCTCACTGTCAACAGTTTTCTTTGGAACTGGAAAACAAAAATACAAAACGATTGATGGCATGTTCTGAAACAGGGACACTGTTTCTGGAAAGACACATTGCTTGTGAATGTTTTAAAACAAACGCTGTGCACTCCATAAATGAAATATATATAAATTTCTATTGTATTAGAATAATGGCAGAAGTCTCAGAAGTAAATAACTCAAAATCTGTGCAAATTAAACTAGAACTATCTGCTTGATAACACTAATGGTAAGAAAATATGCAGTTTTGTAATTCGGTTTAACCAACCATCTAAAAAGCGTAACATATTTTGATATGAGTCTGATTTTAAGAAGGTTTTTATCGTCCATTATGTAAATATGAACAGGCATGATGTTGTTCACTTCCAGTGGACATACTGTAGTGTTTGCAGCCTTGTGGACTACAGCCAGTGGGGAAAAAGGTTTAATTGTGGAGCCAACTAGCTTATTATTTTCAGAAAGCAAGACTTGAGACTCACTTAATATGTGAGTTCATGTAGAACACATGTGGAAAAGCCATTTCCTTTTACCTGGTGAGAGGAAGTGAGGGTCTATATGAACTATGGGGTGAGGGGAAGGTCTGCTGTAATGGCAATAACACAACCAAATACTGGATGTAGCTACTCTACTCAGTGAAACCTATCGGCAGAGAGCTGACAGGAAATAAGTTGGTAGATGGTTCAATTTGTTGATTTTATTTGTTAGCCAGTAGGTCATGACCTTTGCACACCATAACCTACAATGATAATGAAAGTTTGCAAAGTAGTCACACAGACCATCCTATAACATTTGTGTCACCCCTGCTGCTTCGCTGGTGTAATTCCCATTATGTAATGAAGGCAGGGAACACACTCTGATCACCAGTCCATCATAATGTTACTTAGTTATAGACTATTTTGATATCAAAGAAAAAAAACAAAGTACTTATCAGTGAGTATATGATGAACAAAACAAAAACATAGTATTGAAAGATGCTTATATAAAGGACACTGGAATCTTTAAGGCATATAGTAATATTACAAAGAAAAACAAATCTGTTAATGTTATAACAAAAATTACTTTT